ACAGCTCTTATGAAGTCTGAAAGATCCAAGAATCTCTCTCTGAAAGACAGAAGGGCTACCTGCTCTTCTGTCACTGCCTTCACCGCTATCAGAGGGTGCAGCTGCACAGCATTCACTCTGAGCCTACCTGCAGACCAGGACTGGATCCTTCTTCAGAGCGGGTCTCTGAAGTCCAGTGACTATGGATGGACATTAGGTGTGCATGGGTATGAGCCAGTTCCAACACTAGACCCCATGGCTCCTGAGGAGCTACTGAAGTTGACGAGCTGTAATTGTCATGGAGATTGCAGCAACCGGCGGTGCAGCTGTAAGAAGAATGGGGTCACGTGCATCTGGGCCTGTGGAGTCTGTAAATCATTACATGTAGAAACTGCAGTCATGACGTTGTTGAGTCTGAAGAAGACATAGACGATGACTCTTGAAGCTTCTGACAGGGTGAATGAGAAATAACTGAGTATTATATAAGTATGTGAAATAAAAGCTACTGTGAATGTAAATGTAAAAGTGAGTGTGGCTTTTTCAACAAAGAAGTGTTTGTGGTGAAATATAAATGCTAACAATCAACTCAGAATCATGAACAAACCCTGATTTGACCCCTCATAAGTTACTTAAGGCTGATAAAAAATTTTTTTAAAAATCAAGTTTTCGTTAATCGTTTATCGGTACCCTGACTTGAGCAGGTTTTTTAAGGTTTCCCACAGGAGTTGAACTTCAACATTTTAAAACATGTTATTACACACCTTTACCAACATATTGGTGAAGAAATTGTTTGGTAACGATTTAGTTGGCAGATATTCATATGTTTCCCTTACTATAAATAAATGACAATAATATCACACACATCTGAAAAGTTTCCTATTTTCATGTTTGATTTTCAACTGTGGAGTTGCAGAGACCTGCGCTAACTGGGTTGGACTCTTTATTTCAGTATCGACAATATTTTTGCTTCACTGAGGAGCTGCTGCACAATGTGTGCAATAAGCAGTGTAGAAGTTCAAAAGTTTATGGAAAATTTGGGGAGGAAATGACTCAACAGCTTCAAGTTCTTATGCTATGTCGCCAACATGTTTCCACATGCATGACTGTCATATCTGAAGAACTGGTCACCTAAAAGTTAGTCTTTGTTTTTGCCGCTGTACATCTGTCTTCCTTCAGGACCAATACAACTGAATTGATATGATTTTCTGTGCCAAATTATGCCAAATCTGATAGAAAAATGACCTATTAGAAAAGAAATTTGCCACACATATGCACGTATTTTAACCGACTGAATGGTCATGACAGTAGCCAACAGGGTTATGAGCCTAATCTGTAAATTAAAAAAGGACTATTGGTTTGCAGACCACCTATTTGATGCCTCAATTATGGAATTTGTTGTTGTTGATTTTTTTTAACCAGACATGACAAGTCAGGGTTAGGTCTTACACCATAGAGTGAATAAAAGAAAATCAGTTTTATACACTTAAGACACGTCTTCTGGTATATATATGCTGCATTCGATGGCAACTGGTAGCTCTGAATTTTGGGTGTCAAACTATGAAAAATTTAAGAAAATGTCATCACAAAGTAGGTTTTCAATCTGGGGGCAGCCATGGTTATTTATCACATATGCTTCGACTGTGCGGAGGTCCAGTAAAGGCCATTTTTCAACAATACCAGAGCTGCCACATCATCTATTCTGAGGTCAGACTTCCCTCTTTCAAAGCGCTTCAAATGCAGCAATACAGTAATTCTCGTCTGCAGCTGTGTTTCTACAACGTATTTCTGGGTACTTTTTTAAGTATTCAAGTTTTGTTTTTACTCATGTCCAGGTGGGGTTTTTTTTTTACTTTTCCTACAAATGGAAACAGCTTTTCTGAGTAAATCACACAAGCGATCAGGTGTTTTTGCCTGTGGTGACTCTGGACAGCCTGAGACGTGGCTGATATCAGCACACATGAAAGAATACTCACAACTTGCCTGACTTAAAACAGTTCCTGAGGATTTCACTCCAGTTTTTTTCCTCATAGATGAAGAAAGTTGTGTTTGTTTTTTTCCGTCTTCTTTGAGGTTTTTTTTTAATTTTTGGAGGGCAACAACTGGTTTGTTTCTTCTACTGATTTATTTGCTTTGTATTTTCTTGGTGAGAGTTCAGAAATTTGCTGCAAATTGCCTTGACCATTATGTACTAACATGGCTTATGATGGTAATACATGAGAAATATCAGCCTAATCTTTCAGCTGAAGTGAGCGTATAAACATTTCTTAACGTAGCCTTTTTGAGTTTAATACTCATAATGAAACGTGTGCTTTTATTTTTAGCTTTGATAATTGAGTAGGGATGCAAGAGTCACTGAATGCTGCTACGAGGGCTGAAACTAAAAACTGCTGATTAATCTTTCGGCTATTTACAGGATTACTCACTTAGATGCTTGGTCTAGAAAATGTCAATGTTTCCTAAAGCTTAAGATGTCTTCTTTTGTCCACAACCCCCCAAAAATACAATTTAGTGTCACTGAGAAGGAAGATATTTATATTTAAGAAGCTGCAATCAGATAATTTTGACTTCTTTGACAAAAAAAAGTCCCTTAAAACCAATTAGTTGATTATCAAAATAGTTGTAATTAAGAGTAAATTAGGAGATCTAATTTAATGATTGAGTAATTGTTGCAGCTCCAATACCTACAGAAATCAACTCTTACCATTCACAGTCAGGCGAATCCCTTCGTTTACCAAAACCTTGCCTTCTGAGCGCTCGGTACAGAAATACAGCCCAGCGTCCTCCTCTTCCACCCTGTGAATCTTCAGACTAACCAGCCCGCTCTGCTGGTCTCTCTCCCAGTTTATGCGACTGTTTGTAGAGTGGAAAATGATTGAATCTCCTTTTAATTTACTCTGTTTTCCTGTGAGCAGAGGCAGCAGCTGGTCTGAACGCAGCAGGTACCAGGTGATCTCCACGCTGGACGTCAGGTTGCAGGTCAGAGAGACGTTCTGTCCAACCTGGACCTCAGAGGCAGAGTGGGGAACAGGTGAGGCTGATGACAGAGGACATCCTGCAGCACCTGAAGAGAGCCGACAGGTGAGGCTGACCTTCAGCTAAAGATCAAATATCGGATAGTAAACACATGACATTCAATATATGGAATAACAAAGCCGTGGTCAGAGGTATGTGGATGCCCCCTCCGTCCATAATCGGTTTGGTTTTTTTGCTTCCTTTGGTGCCCTCTGCTGCAATGTATCTAAATTTCAGTGCTAATGTACACCGCTCCTGGTTTTTCTTTGGCAAAGTTGTACTTGTGGAACCTGTTCTGATGTGGAGCTGCGTAACCAGCGTTCATTTCCATCATCATTTAGTGAAACCACTGCACCATCATAGACAATAGACTTGCATCAAGTGTTGGCCATAAAAACAACAAGCATATCAGGGCATCCTAATGTTTACCTGCAAGCTTTTCACATCTTATTTACAACATTTACTTACGAGGAGCCTCCTAATTTCCACATGTTTCTGTGTTTGTATAAGAAACAAGCAGAGCTCCCGTTCATTCTTACAGGAACCTCGTGTTTTCTGACGCGTTTGCAAAACTCCCATTCAGAATTTGCCTCAAGTACACTGAAAAAAACGCTTGTAATGGATCACAGAGAGACCTGATTGTGTGTCAGGAAGCTGGAAAAACCCATTAGCTAAAAGGCTATTCAGTTGTTAGACTATATTGACAGTCAAATTGTGCAAATGTATGATTACTAAAGAAAATAATGTAGGTAGTTTAACACATGTTAGCTATGCAACGTACAGAGAACACACATACTGTAGTGGTCCATAAGTCAACCTCCTTACTTATTTCTCGACATGTGTTATCGGTCCTGTTTCAGTGACAGTAATGCTCTTGGTATGTTCCATAAAACTGGAAGGTAAAACTGAAAGCTTCAGGTTAGCCTCTCTCCCATGGCTCCAAAGATTCCATCTGTCTGTCATAAAGTGTATTGCCTTGTGTTGGACACCAGGGGGCGTAATCCAAATTTTACACTGATTTACGGACATGAAGTAAAACTGCTTAAAAACGAGGCAGGTGAGGAGCTCGGACTGGGAGTACCTCGAGATTCCCTTGGAGGAACCTGCTTAACCTGCTGCTACCGAGACCTGACGCCAGATAGGTGACATGAAATTAATGCTTACTGAAACTGAACAGAGTTACACGAGTGAGTTGTGAATTCTGTGCAGATGCTGATTAATGAAAGATCAACGCAGATATGCTCACTGTGTTTCAGAGCTGTACCTCTTTTTTTCGTTTGTGGAAACAAACAGAATGATTCGAACTTTGGTTTGCAAATCAAAATAAAACTGGTCCTGCATTGGTAAAAATGGCCCTGATGGTATTTTAGACCAGTGGTTCCCAACTCGAGGATAGGTATCCCTAAAGGCATTGAGATACAGAACATAGAAAAACACTTAAATAAGTTTTGAATGGTACTGTTTAAAATGAGTATTTAGCATTACGTCTCTGAACTGACCTAATAAACTATCTGGAGTTGCAGCTGTTTGTAAAAAATATAATACTTATAGAGTTTTACTTTGATACCAAAGCAAATGTTTTTTTTCAGTACTTTGAAAGAAGCATCTTTTATTGTCTCTAAACATTTTTTTATGAAGCAAATAAAGCCCTGAAAAAATGCTGTCCAAAAGGCGAAAAACATTTAATTTGCCAATTTTAGATTTAAGTCTTGAACCATCTCTTCAGTGAGAAACTAAGCATGGATACCCAACTGTTCAGAGCACTGACTGGGGTTTGCTGCCCATCTAGCTCAAGCTGCATTCAGCTCCACCCACCCAGCTAAACTAAGAAGATTGTTATTAAACCAGGAGCTTCCGTGCCCTCATTTTCACACCTGCCAGCTTGTTTTCTTTCAGTTTTGGTGTGAGATGCAATCAGAATCACAGACAAAAAAAGATATAACAGAACACACTGGCCATGAGAGTCAAGTGAAGGTCACAGACAGACTCTGGCATGTGAGTGTGCAGAATCCTGCCTGCATTTAAGTGATAAAGCATTAACTTACAAATGAGGGTGAGGATCCAGGTGAGAGCTGCCATAATTAGACTAAATGCACAGGTGTTGTCCAGGTGTGGTGCACGGGTCGGCTGCTGCAGGAGGACTGATGAATGCTTGGACTATGCAGGCAGTGATTGCAGCGTGAGGAAGTGTGGGGGATTTTACATTTTAGAGACCACCAACACGTCTCAGCGGAAAACAGAACAGTGAAGCCTTCTTCCTCTGAACTCCTCACTCAGCACATTCACTACCTTCCCTTCGCCTCTACAGGCAAACACAAAACTGTAGGAGCTATAAGTTTCGTTTCTCGGCAGATCTGTCAACACAGTTGGAGGCTGGCTTCAAAGTAAAACTACTGTCTGCTGTTTAGTATTTTTCTGTTTGTTTTTTTATGAATTAACACAATTACTTAACTGTGATCCTACAGGACAATTACACTAAACAAAAATACAAAGGCAGCATGTAAAATTGTGTTAAATTCCCTTCATTCTCTTTTACCATAGTGGAGTAAGTATTTGGCATCTCTACATGATACCACAAAGTATGAACTGCACTGGAAATCGTAATGAGCAGATGGAGAGTAGACTCTTAGACCAGAAGTCACAAATCAGAAAGAAGCAAGGCTGCACGTAATTACTAATCTGTTGGTGCATGTGTTTCCTGTTTTGTCGGCAACCCAAAGATATTCAGCTTATTGTTATAGAGGAGGAAAGAAACCACAAAAATCTTCACATTTAAGAAGCTGGAATCAGAGAAGTTCAGAAATCAATTGTCAAAATAGTTTCATGTAACAGCTGGCAGATAATTAAGTACTCGTACATGTGTCCACCATTTGCATGACGTGTTGCCATCATTTTGCAAAGCATTGTTAACAAATTTGTCAGTACAGCTTGTTTCACTCAAGGCTCGTTGAAGTTTGTGGACATTTGGGGAGAGCGGATCATGTTGTCGGACATCCAGAACTGTCTAAAAGTTCCTGACCCAGCATTACCATTGGCCTGTTTTATTTATTTTTTGTCTTTTACTTGTCATCTGTGGCATAAAACTGCCTTTTAATGTGGCTTTTTGTAGTCACTGGTCTGAATCTGACTCAATCTAGTCCTTTTACTTTAGATCCACACTTGACTCGGGTGTGGATTAACTCAGCGGTTGAGCAGCTCGGAAACATCACGAGCACAGTTGGCTACATTTAAGGATGTAAATTAGGTAAATGTTCTCTGATATATATTATTTTAGGGCCTTAACCTTACTATTTAAATTTGGTAAACTTTCTATAACATTGTGCCGTTTTAACATGATTTTTTTAAATTACAAAAAGTTCTATAATTAGTAAAATTGATATTTAAATTAGACAGATAAATTTTAATCCTATTTCTGTTAGAAAGCAGCACTGTCTGTTTTAAATGTGCTATATTAATAACGATGACTTATCTGTAACGTATAAGAGCCTGATTTGTGGATTTGCTAAGGAGCTTTTCAAAAGGCTACAGAGGCTAAAACTGCAAAACTTAATGAAAATAAAACATAATAAGGAAAATAAGACTTTAAGCCTGACAAGACACAGTATGTATTTTATTTTATTTTTTTTAAACGTGAGAATTTTTCAACCAGGAATCTGAAGTTGGTGCTTTTATTGTGGTGGGTGCCTACAGGAAATCGAAACTTACAGTGAGATATTAAAGTGCGGCTTGATCTGAGAAGAGAAACAGACTGTCGAGAACCCAAACACGGCGGAGGGCAGGGAAGAAGACTGGACTGGGTCTCCAAGAAGCGGACATCATGAAAACAGGCACCTTACGACTCTGGTGAGAAACACTGCACTTTATTCTGAAAAAAAAAAACACACCTGATTATATTTTTACTGACTATAGCATCATCATTATTATAATTTCCATGTATAATGCGCTTTAAAAGCCCGGCATGTGTTTGTATGACGGGACGTGGCAGCAGCTGGGCGCATTCTGCAGGAGGGAGGATTTAAAGCAGCATTTAGCGCGCTGTGGGTTTGCAGAGCTGCAGGATCGGAAGCTGCTTGAGTTTCGTTTCAGCGGAAAAAAAAGGGGCGTCAAGGCGCCACAGTTCATTCACACCTCGTCTGTCATCGTTTAGTTTCGTTTCTCTGGAGCGGCTCAACAGTTTCATGATTGCAATGTTGGATCCGTGTTTGTGCCAACTGCCGATGTGATGACTGGCCAAGACTAATACCTGAAATCCTCCTGAGTGTGAATGCATGTAGAGTTTGAAAGCTTTATCCACATTTTAACAAACAAGTTAAAGCTTTAAACTACCCAAAATATTATATATATATAATTTTACAGCTTTTTTCCACCCTTATGGTCCCTTCTAATGAAGAAATTATAGTTTTAAAGGTTTATTCCACCCAAAATACTACGTTCTGCCTGAGTATTTACCAGTTTCAGAGATCTGTTCCACCTGTAATGCTGCTTTCTTTCCAAGTATTTATGCTTTTATAGGTTTATTCCATGCAAATAGTCCTTTTTAACGAACACGTTATGGTTGTAGAGGTTTATTCCACCTAAAATACTACTGCCTGTCCAAATATTTATAGTGTTGAAAGATTTATTCCATCCAAATACTACTTTCTGTACAAGTATTTATAGTCTTAAAGGTTTTTTTTCTACTCAAATAGTACTTTCTAACTAACAAGTTATGTTTTTTTATTTTTTTTAAAAGGATTCCACAACACTTCATTCTGTCTAAGTCTTAATGATTTTAAAGGCTTATTTCACCCAAGTAGTACTTTTTAAGTTCTGGTTCTAAAGGTTTCTTCCAACCAAAACACTATTTTCTGTAAATATATTTATAGTTTTACAACTTTATTCCACCCAAATGGTAACTTCTGTTCCACAAATTATAGTTTAAATGTCTACTCCTCCTAAAATCCTAATTTCAGTATACATATTTATAGTATTAAAGGCTTGCTCCACCCAAATTGCACTTTCTGATGAACCAGTTAAGATTTTAAAGGTTTACTTTAAACCTAAAATCCTACTTTTGTACAAGTATTTATAGTATTAAAGGTTTCATCCACCCAAATCACACTTTCTAACTAACAGGTTATGGTTTATAATGTTTATAGTCCTGTATTAGGGTCTCCGAACAAAGAAAAGCTGCCTCTTTAGATTAAACAAATGTTCTTCACGTCATCTGGCCTAAAAATTAGTTAATGATAAACAGGGGTTCTGGATAAGTGGTGCTGAAAATGCTGCCCCCCTTTGCGGGAGCTACACACTCACAGCACTTGTCCACTGACCGGTGAGTTTCATTTCTAGTGAAACAGCTTAGTGCTGCCAGTCAGATCTCATATTACACATAATTGAATACAGGCCAGTGGGAAGTTAATGCTGTTTAAACAGACAGAGTAAACAGGAACATAATCTAACCTCATCCTGTTTTTCACATTCACATCTGATTTGCTTTAATGCAAAACAAAATTCATAGTACATGCAGGCTTTTCTACATTAATAAAATGAGTTTTAGATATTAATCACATTGAAAAAAAACAAGCCTTTCTCACATTTGGGATTTAAACATTGGGGATTATAGCTCTATAACTGTATGATATTCTAGTTTTTCTGTCTTTCATGTTTACAGTGACCTTTAAGCTGAATAAAGACTGTTATCTTTATTACTAGTTCTAATCTGATAATAAGTGTATTTTCGGATACAGCATTTACTAATCAGATTATTCTCTAATGTGGTGCTTTCTCTTGTGTCTTGCAGGTTTTTCATACATCTACAATGTCTCCTGACTGGACATGTAGTCGGTACGTATCCAGCTACATGACAAACACTGCAGAGGTCACACAGCTGCACCGACAATGAAAGCTGTCACTGGTATTTAAATAGCACATCGACTCTGAGCCAAGTGCTTTCCAACAAAGAAATAAGATTAACAGTGAAGATTTACAGTTCAAATACTAAGATTATTGTTATTATTACTATTTAAAAAATAAAAAGACACTATATTATATATCCTACCAAATTACCTGACTAATTTAAATAATAAGGTTAAGAACCTCCAAATATTTTACATGGAAAACTCAATGAATCCAAGGATTCCCTGTAAGCAGCAGATTGGTGACAGTGGAGAAGAAGATGTAGAGAACATCAGCAGAACCAGGGTTGGGGAGGGGCAGGTAACCATCTGACTGCTTGGGCTGAGGGTCAAACAGTCATTTCTCAGCTACTTTTACTTTTACTTCCTGATTGGTGATTTGCTCATAGACTGTTGATGGAATACTTTTACTGGCAAGAAGTAGTTAATCAACATCAGAACAGAAAATACAATATGTGCTCCTCTTTAAGTACTTTTTGGTCTTTACACAACCATGTCCCATGCTGGACGGAATAATAGACTTTATATAAAACATGTAGGTGCATTTTATTTACTTGTTTTGATTTTGGATGACAACTATATTGAAGAGATGTTAAACACCTGATGAGCCTCAGACAAAGCGTACATCCAATTTGCTTCATTGTTCGTATTGATGACATATGGTTTGTGAATGCAATGCCCTTCCATACTAATGTTGTAGTACTGTATACAACAGTTTAAGCATCTTTCTGCATTCAGTTCTCTTTACTTGTAATATTTTAAATACATTTTTCTGATTATACATCCACCCAAGTTGCATTCTGAATGCAGAACTTTTATTTATAACGCAGTCTCTTTACAGTGTAGACTTTGTACTGTCTTACAAACTAATCTGGGGTTCTCTTTAACACACTGAACAACCTTGAACAAGCTTTCTAGACCTGTAAATACTTGTTATTTTAACACAGCATATTTTTCCTTTATTACCTGCAACTCTTCTCCCAGACTCCTCCTCTCTGCCCTCCGCCCGTTACGTGTCTGTAACCTCCACGGTGGGCAGCCAGGCGGTTCTTCCCTGCAGCTGGAAGTCCCGTCTGGGGGAGGTGGCTCTGCCGGCCTGCCACGTCCAGTGGGCCTCGCTGTCCGACACCGTGTTCGAACAGTGGGGGGAGGCCAGGTGGCAGGCGGCGGAGTTTAAGGACCGGGTGAAGGTGCCAGAGGAGAAACTCGGATCCGGGGATTGTTCCCTGATCATCAGCGACGTCCAGATCGGAGACACTGGCAGATACGAGAGCTTCATGGTGGTGGATGGAGAGAGGTCCAAAGGAACCCGGGTGTTCATCCAGAGCGTCAAGCTGTCCGTGTTCGGTTAGTTTGGGTTTGGCTGAATGTTTCATTTTTGTAAGATTGCTGAAAGATATATATTTTCAACATAAATGCTGTTTGTAAAGTAAAGCAAATGAAGACAACTACAACTTTTCTTGTTGCATGGTTCTCATTTTCTATGAGTGATCCACTGGAGAATTCTGTCTGATAGAACATTATTTATTTGGGCTCTAGGATACTTTTTTAGTTTCTTTTAAAGCTTTATTTAAAAGATAGTTAGTTTTACTTGAATGCTTCACATGTGCATTGCTGAATGAGCGAGGAACAAGACAGGAACACTGCTTGCAAAAAAGAAACGCAATGCCAGCTGTACGGCTGCACAATTATTTGGAAAATTAATCATGAACACAGTTGAATCAACATGATCAACCGTGATACCGACATAAATGCTCCACCTTATTTAAAACTCATTTTTGGTCACATCTGTCTGAGCTGCTATTTGGTCTTTGTTTCTCGTGTTTTTAACCGTTCTCTTTTAATATGTATTCTACTTTTGTCCAATTTTTTTCATCTATTCTGCTATCTTTTTTTTTATGTTGCTGATTTAACATCTTTTTGTCTCATTCCCTCTCATTTTTTATACTTTGTCAGTATTTTCGACCTCTAAATCTCCCCCATCCACCCCTCATGACTAAACTAAACTTCTATTTCTCATGACTTATATTTTCTAATTTACTGTCCCTTCTGTGGCATTTAACAGTCTGCCTTTTGTTTATTCTCATCACTTTTCTCAGAGTTTCAGTTGCTTTTATTGCCTGCTGTTTATCTAATTGTTTCTCTTGTTACCATTTCTCATCCGTCAACTTTTCTCACCATCAATACTACATTTCTGCTCTCATCATGTTGCCCTCCTTTTCAATTCTTTCACATCTTGAATCTGCCGATTGTTTCTCATCTACTCTCATTTTGTCCGCTCTCATATCTGACCTCTTCTGTATTTGTCCCTGTAGATCCTGATCTCTTTTCTGTGGATGTTTTTTTTTTTTTCAAACGATGAATAGTCATTATTTTTTCCCCCCCTTTTAGACCACAAATCCCATCAGTCTCGTCGTCCTGGTGGGGACCTGGTTGTGGAGCTCCACACACCTCGCTCCATAAGATTGGTCTTCCAGGCCAGGTAAGCTTCTTATCCACTAACACAGCAAAAAACACTACGTCCTACCGATTCTGCTCACAGATGGAAAGTGTTGGTGGTGGATTCGTGGGGCTTATGATGTTCTTTTTTTTTTTTTTTCTGTCCTTTGCAATCCTTCATTTCTTTGTTTGCCTCGTCTCTGCTCCCACGCTTGTGCTTTTGCCTCCCTGAAGACAAAAGGCGACTCCTCCTCTGTAAAATTACTGCTTGCGTCGAGCCACAGTAGATTAAATGCTGCTGGTAATGTTATGACTCACAATATAAAGTGCGCTTACAAAATAGACGCTAAGTAGATGGAACAGACAGCTTGTGGAGTTTTCGGGAAAAAAAAGTGACTTGTATATAGCAGAACTTTCCAAAGTAGGTGGGTTTTTTGGAAATAAACCCACATTTCTGCTATTAAAGTCGCCTTTACATTTATAGCTGCGGTGCGGGTGAGGCTCTAAACTCATTACCATAAGGAACAGCTTTGATCTTAGCGAAAGCTTACTTCCGGCGCCGTCTTGGGTGGCAGTCAGTCAAAGGTGCTTTACGTGTGCATGTCACTTTTTCTGCCCTTTATTTATAAACCAAAGTAGCAAGCTACATTTGGTCTCAGTAGAAGATGTAGATTCGGACTTTGTTTCATCTCTCAGTCACCTTTGGTGTACTTTGTCATGCCGGATTTTACCAACGGATTCCTGTCCTAGTGTTGGAGACCCAACGTCCTACTGTTTACACCAGGGACCATCTGATGAACCGCTGACAATGTGCTGTCGCCGCCATGTGAACCGAAATCCCCGGAGAGCTGAAAAGGACCGACCACATCTTTTTATATCACAATGGGTCTCTGGAGAATAGGATGGATGAGCTAATATCACTCACAAAGAGCGGCAGACTGTTTCGTAAGTGTTCTATCATGTGCTTCACGGAGACATGGAACTCTATCGTGAGTTGAGCCGGCTTCCAGTTGGTGCAGACGGAGGGAAGTTCCAGAGAGAGTGGCAAGAAGATGGGAGTCACTTTCTACGCGAACAACAAGTGGCGCAACCCTGGACATGTTACCATAAAGGAACGTGTGTGCAGCCCGGACATCGAACTGCTGCCGGTAAGTATCCGTCCACATTATCTACCCAGAGAGTTTTCTTAGACCGTTGTGATAGTTCGTACTGTCATCAACTCTGTAACCGCAGCGCTACAGACGCTCCACCCCAGTGCCTTCAGAGCATCTCTGGGGATTTCACTCACGTCACTCTTACATCAGCTCTTGAAGTGGCCAAAAATTCTACCAAGGTCAACTCAAGACAGGTAAGAAAAATGGGCAGAAAAGTCTTCAAATAACGCTTTTGAGTCAGGCAGAGTCTGGTGCACAAAGGTTTCATTTGTCAAACAGCAGTAATTGACCGCTCAAACCATGAGTTAGTCCCAGGACTGAACTAACCGCTCTTCTCTCAGACTGCTGTTTTAATTTTCTTTGGGTTTCTTTGGATTGCCCTCCTTTTTTCTTTTGAAAGTCTATATTTGGACCGAAATTAAAGGTGTGAACTTTGAGGTTGTCTCTGCCCTCAGCTGGGACATGCGTTGGTAAATTCTATTGGTATCATGACTCAGCTTATTTTCTGTTTTACCAGTCTTCTGACCTTGACACCGATTTGCAAGTGTTAGAGCAGCAGTACTACACAGATCCTTCGGCTGCCTCTACACTCTGCCCACCTTCAGTTTGTTCATTGTAACACCAACAACAACAGAACCCTTGGCCTGCTCTATGCTAATGTTAAGGAAGCATACAGCTCCATGGCTCTCGCTACTCTGTGCAGGTCAGATCACAATCTGGTCCACCTCGAGATACTTTAGTTAAAGAAGTTGCTGCTGGACTTTGAAGGAATTTTGCTTGTACATGTGTTCATCGATGGAGCCCAAACACTAAAGGAAGTCGTACCGGCGCAGTTCTATTAAAGTATGAACAAAGTCGAGTCCACGTGGAAACCATGAATTGGCCTTAACTCTCTGTTCACCTTCAGCAGAGGATGTGAGGAGAGAGTTTAGCAGACTGGACAGCCTCAGACTGCTGACAGGATGTGGCTATCAGCTCTGTGTGTTTGTTTTTTTCGCACATTTCAGCCTCAGCTTGATGATCATCCCCGCTCTGTCTACGACATCATGCCTGGTACCTGTGTCCTCAAAAAAAAAAGCACCCAAACACTCTCAGTGACGACAGACCAGTGGCTTTGGCTTGACATCTAGAGATGCTTGTCAATAGTTGAGCCATCGCTGGACCCCCTGCAGTTTGTGTCCCAGCATCACATTGGACTGGAAGACGCCATCGTCTTTCTGCTCAAAGGGCTTCTTGAGAGTCACGTACTTTGACGTTTCCAGTACTTTTAACAACAGAAGACCTGCCATGCTCAGCATTACACTGCTGGAGATACAGGTGGAAGCTCCACTGGATCTCCAACTACCTGACAGGTTGGCCAATAGTAAACCCAGTCGTAATCAAGAGAGCAGGGGCGGACGTTGTCAAAGACTGCAATAAACTAGACCGGACTACAAATATGGAAGCTCTGTACAAGCAAGGTCAGTGCAATCTAGAGACCGAGATCTTTCAGCATCTGCAGAACCATGCTGCAGATGTTTAATCACTCGGTGGTGGCCAGCGTCATCTTCTAGGCGGTAGTGTTTTGGGGCAGCAGAGTGAAGGCAGCTGATAGCAACAGACTGAACAAGCTCATCGGGAAAGCTGGTTCTGGAGGATGCTGAGGATGAAGCCTGTCATCACCTGAACGCCACGCTGGCGTCACATCAGAGATCAGAGCAGCTTCAGCCGTAGACTAAAACCACAGCACAGAACGCCACAGGAGATGTTTTCTACCGTCAAACTGAACTGCTCACCTTTCCACAGAATCGACAGCTAAACCATCGCACACTTAGAGCTGAACAATAAATCAACATCATTTGCGATATTAATTTTCTCAATCGCTAGTGCGGTATTGGTTCCAGTATCATGTAATTTCTCATGTGCAGTCCATGTAAGGTGCAATATTTCATCATCATGTGTGACATTACTAATCATCTGATTATCATTCCCAGCATTCCTTTATACTTTTCTTATCTTTTAACACATCTTAAACTTTGCTCCACAGGAACAGCTCCGTGTGGTCGGACGTGTGGATGAGGGGGGATAAAAACAGCCAGCGTCTGGAGAAAGATCCTCTGCTGGAGCAGCTGACCATTAAGAATCTAAAGAGCTCCGATGAAGGAACGTACAAAGTTCTGGACAATCAGGGCCTCGCCATCAGCACCGTGCAGCTCTCAGTGGAAGGTTGTGCACCAAGTCATGTCTGATACCATCATGTCTGTGTGTTGGTTTAACAGAAAAAGAAAATGTTTTGGACGTTATTGTAAACCGTAAATTGTGGTTTTATAAACACAATCTAAATGCTGTCCAAACCCAACGCAAAATCCAAACGTAAAGACGTTCAGAGATTTAAATTAGACTCAAAACAGGAAACAGAGTATCACTGGATAATCTGTAACTCATTGTAAATCACAACCTAAAAATAATCTATTTGTGGTCTTTGTTTTGAAACTAAAAATAGACTAAAAACAAACTCTTGACTATTTTGTCTGATGAAGGTCTAGCTGCGAATTGTTGAGTTTTTTGTTTTTTTAACCTTCTGAACCCAAAAATGGGGGGAAAAAAAGAAAAGACATTTCAGGTGTCAGAATCAGAAATGAAAAACGAATCAAACATGGTCGTCCAATCAAATGTTGCTTTTTTGGGGGTTTTTTTTTTTTTTTTTTTTTTGCTCCCGATCGAAAAATGAGAAAAACAAATTTAAAAAAAACAAACAAAAAACAACTCCAATGTAGTTTTATGTAAATTCCATCTATCTACCCATCTTCCCCCTGGTATCGATCCTGTGCTCGCAGAATGTTCTACTTTTAATAAAACTGTCATCTTTACATGTTGATGTTTTTAGACAAAAAAACAGACAACAATTTTGTTTTTCATTTTTGGTTTAAAATTGAGAAGACAGAAAAAGAAACACGATTTCTGTTTTTGGTTTCCAAACGAAAAATGGAATCACCAAAGAACAAAAAAGTCCGACTGGTTTATCGTTTTTTGGTTCGGACGCTTAAAATAGTTTTTCTCTCGTTTTTATGAAACAAAGAACAGTCTGAAGCAGCTCTTTGGATTTTTTTTTAAACTGTCAGCTTTAAATGATGTGTCACACTCTGATAACACAGGAAACATTAAGACAGTTGTCTTCTGTGATAAGATGAGTGTTGTTTTTGTTTTTATAAGTATTTGTCCTGAAGTGGTGTTTTTATCTAATTATGTCTCACTTGTCCTGCAGAAAATTTCACAGCTGCCAGAGTCGATAAGATGCTGGAAAATGTACCAACAGGTGAGAATATAACATTTACAGTCTCCCAGAATGTGTTAACAGTAGAGGCTGACACCATCATACAAATTATTATATACTCCCAAAAGCATGTTGAGAGTACAGGGAAATTTCACATTAAGGCTAACATACTTTTGGATATAACTGTTAAATATATACGTATTTATAAGATACGTGGATACAAACAGTGTGAAATTGTCCACCTTTGTTTCACTGTTGTGTTTTTAACTCAAATTGAAACACCTAAAGCGATTTAGACGAAGGAAAATCTGTTTGCACCCGACCTGGAATAATGCGCCTGCCCTCTGATGTCTTACAGATGCTGCCGTCCAAAGCAAATGCTCAATTCTTCTCCTCGTCTCTGTTCTTGTCTGGAGTTTCCAAATTCTTCGTCTTCTCTGAGACAGTTTCCTCTGCAAAGCAACTGCGCATACAGCAGACGCGAATCCCGAACACTACAGCCAGCTGATGGTGTGAATCCTTAATGTGAGTGTAAATGCAGAAAGACAGATCAGAGTGGGACATGTGATTCAAGCTGCATCAAGTGCAATTTTTGTTTGAAACCAAAAGCCAAAATTTTTAATACCACTTACAGATCTCTCCGTTAAATATGAAGCTCAGGGTAGCGTAGCTTAGCGTAAACACTGGAAACCATCTGAAATCATCACAATTTTTGAACTATTTGTGCTCAACCATCTCTGATTTGACAGAAAACATTCAGGCATAAAATCCAGATACTGATGAAGATATTTGAAATTTGATCTCAATATAGAAAAAACCTAGAGCTATATAATTTTTAAAAATTGCCTGTCGACGCACTTTCAGCCCGCTGAGATTTGAGTCTGTGTTTGAACAACAACATCTTAAATATAAAAGCCTAGAATTTTCCACTGTTATTTCCCATCCTGCCATTCAAAAAATGAAATATTGGACAAATAGATCAGATAATTTCTGATTATGGGTGAGTTAAAATATGAAAAATAAAATATGAAGATGTCATGAAAAGTCCCATCTTTAAACACAAATTAACAAAAACGTCACAATGCAGAAGTCAACTCGTGATATTTTCTGAACCGTACGTAGTTGCACGTCACAATAATACAAAACATACAGAATACTTTTTAATATTACAAACTTGGTAACAAAAATGAAAATCAAGTTATTTTTCTTTCATAACCGATTGAGCAGATTTTTCAAGTTGGACCACAAAAATAGAATTATTTCGAGATGGTCTAATCCAAGTATAACAGAGTTCTGGAGTTTCAACATGTTTCTCCAAATAAGTCATGAATCATCACTGCATTAGATTATTAGGATTACATCAGTGTCATATAACCAAACACACTGATCTGTTGGGATAGTGGGGTGTTTCTAGTGGGAAATGTTCATGCCTTACATATATGGACTTACATGAGCAAGACTTGAGTGGCAAATTTATCCTCAAAAAATAATGTAAATTTACCACTGAAGTCTTGCACACATACGTACATCAGTGTGCCATTAAATTTGTCAAGGAGTGAACGTTTCCCACTGGAAAAATCCCACCATCCCAACAGATCTGTGTGTTTAGTTATATTATACTGATGATCCCAATGACTAAATGTAGAATAATTGGTAAAGAAATTACACAAAACTACAGGACAAGTTTCCTTCAAACCAAAAGGTTAGTTAACACCTAGAAAGTGGGGTCCGAAAATGTATGAAAATGCTCCTATGAAAAAGAAAAGAAAAAGTTCTTAGGTATTTGGAGAACCATTTTGAAACTCCAACAACTCTGCTCTATCCACCAATATTTCAGTTTTTGTGATACAACTGGTCAAACCTGCTCAATCTGTTAAAAAAAAACTACAATTACTTTATTCTCATTTTTTGTGACCAAGTATTTAATAAAAGTATTCCAGATGGTTTGTTTTGTGTTACTGTGACATGAAACGACAGAAATATCACGAGTTGCCTTCTGCAATATCGAAACTTTTTCTGACGGCTTCAGTTTTGTTGTGTGTTTCAAGTCATTGATAATCAGAGACTAGTTGATTTACCAATATTGGTAAATTTGGCCAGTATTGATTCTGAATCAAGGTCATGATGGGAAATAACAGTGACAATTTAAGTTTCTGATTTGTAACAGTTCCTGAGATATTATCGTTTCAGTATAAATTTCAATGTGCGAATAACATGCTGAAAGTGGGTTGACGGCCAATTTCTATGAGAAGTCTTTTCTTGGGAAGTACTCGATATATCAAAGTAACTTCATGAATGTCCAGATTTCATGCTATAAGAATCCCAAACAAATCTGAGATGGCCTCTGATGACCTGAGATGGAATAACTCCAATGGAAACAGCAAGCGTAGCTTTGATGAAGTTCACCTCTAAAGATCACTTGTTACCAGCTATGTCACATTTCTGATAAGGCACAACTTGTAAAGGGTTTATACGCTATAGTTAATGGACATGTTGTGATTCATAAAAGTTTCAGTGGTGCCTTATAGGTCGGTAATGATCTGAATGACATCTGGTTTGCCAGACTGTGAAAAATCCCCCATTTTTCTTAACTTTAATTCCTCACTAAATGAACCATTTGACCACTTGATCTTCTAGAAAAAAGAGCTGCAGGACACCTGCACACACTGCTTATTAGCATTTACAGCTGCATGCTGGATGGACAGCGCAGCCCCTTTGAGTGGTTTCAAAGGCAATGCGATTAGTTGATTATTGAGCAAAAGAAAATCAATATTTTGGTTATTTTCAGTCAAAATAAGTGAAACATGCTGCACATTTACATAACGCTGCTTCTCCAAGGACATTTTCTGCTTATGTTTCGTGTGCATTTTGAGTACGTTTTGATTTTGGCTCAGACAAATTGAAAAGATTTAAAGAAGTCAGCTGGATTTCTATGAATAATCTAAAAAAAAATAGGTCAATTACAAATAAAATCACTGATCTAAATGATTCATTTGTAGTACAGAGTGGTGAAAGGTTTATCTGCCAACATAATACCATGTTTAAAGGGCCATATCCTCTGTACTTATTTATGGTTTACCAACATTTATAGCTGCATCTGACGGTTAATAAGTTAGCATATGGTTTGACCACAAGTCAGCAGTTTAAGTGTTAATAAGCAGAAAATAATTGGGTTTAAAATAATAATAAACTTCCATAAACTGGAGTTACAAGGTTGTTTACACAAAAGAGCAACAATAAAGCTGAAGAAAAAGGCAATTAACCATTAAAAAAGACAAAGGATTTAAAAAGGTGCAACAATAAAATATTAGGAAAGAATAATATCATTCAAATGCCAACCTGAACAGGATTACAAGCTTTTGAAAAAGTGTGTTAAAAAAGAAAAACTTTGGTCTAAACGTCTCGCAGCTCTTTTCTCAGAAGACGATTGGTCAAACAGTCCATTGGAGGGTTTCCACAATGACCTTATGAGCTGATTTAAAAAAATAAAAAAAAAAGTTTGTTTTTCAGCTCCTCAGTTGCAGATGAAGGAGGATTTTCCACAGACTTGCAACAGACTTTTTTAGTCAACGTCTGATCTGTGAAACATTCGTGGATGATTTAATTAATGTTAGCTTCTAAACCCTTTATTGGAGAGCAGCCCTAAAATGGGAGATGCACTTTTTGATGTCCTGGATTGGGAGAATTTAGACTCTCCTGTTTTTCAGTTTGAAGATTGAAATCACATTTTATGTTTGTTAAATCTAGTATTTGTGAACAAAAAGACAGCAATCACTGCTAAACTGATGTTTATGTTCAAAGAATGGAGTGAAAGTATTTAAATGCACCAGTTTAGAGGTTTGGTTTCATAATTTAAGTGTGATTATTTTTGTCAGCTGGTTGCTGGTTTGGTTGGTAGCTGCAAATAAAAGCACCTATTTGTGCCTGTATATTCAGTCTGAACTGTTGAAGTGGTGTTTTTGCTTTTTTAAAACAAGACAAATAAAGCTGTAAATACTCTGAAGCAGGAACTCTGATGAGTTTAAAGACACTCCGAGAAACTTTGAAACGATTCCATTGAACCGGCACATTTTGCATAGTTTGATATTTTAGAGAACGCTTTGGTCCTTGAATGTATCACAAGGGAGGAGATGACAAAAGCTAGGAGTCATAATAAGCAAACCCTGTGCTCAAATTAACTATCATTTAAAAAAAAACAAAAACCAACTCTTACACAGAGATGAACCAAAACGATCAATGTTGGCTGCAACTAATTTTCAAGTAAAAATGTTCTCAAATATAAACATTTTCCTGCTTTGCTGGTTTTCATATTGCTATAAGCTCAACTTCTTTACCATCTGTGGGTTTGAACTGGGAAAAAAAAACACATTTATGAAAAAGTTAATGACCCCAATACATATCTATGTTAATGTTTCTGATCATTTATAGAATTAAAAAACTCAGTAAATCAATAACACAAGTAACAATGAATGTAATTGTCAAGCAAACTAAGGACATTAGCCAAAAGAAACTGTTGGAATTTCATGATTTTTATAGTCAGTAGGAATGTAGTTGGGTCTTTTGCTGTGATTCGTTTGCTGTGGACATGAGCGATTAAAAAAAAAAAAAGACTAGTTGACCCATCTTGTGGTTAATAAGCAAAACTAAATATATACACATAAATACTACGTTGATGTTCTAAAACCTAATAAAGAGATGAAAAAACAAGCAACAACACTGTGTCATGTTTCTGTTATTCATTGACAGACTGTTGGTTCACACTGGAATGACTTGAAACACAGATTCACATAAATAAATGCAACGATGGATTCTGTACAGCGAGATCAAGGAGAAAAAAGGCACACGGCAACTTGGAGAAACGCTCCCTCTGTGGCTTCTGTCGAACTCCTTTAAAAAGGATTGGTTTTCTTCTTGTCAGCAAACCCAGTTAAATCACCGGCACTAACGTTTCCTCCTGCTTCATCGTTGTTAAATGTCTGACAAGCGCCTCCTGTTTGATGAAACCACACGTTTGTGAGATGTGGAGACTTGAAACTGAGCCTCAGACAGATTTTTACCTTCACATCCTGGCAAACAGAATACATACATTTTATATAAACGATACTAAAAAATGAAGAACTCTGCGCTTTCTGATCAACTTTGACTTCAGCAAACCTGCTTGTAGGTCTAATGTAAAGAGCCCATGTTCTGCTTTTTGTGTTTCTCCCTTCACTGTTTCTTTGGCAAAGGTCTGCAAACTTCAACAGGCCAAAGTCCACAACAAAGGGAGGTATTCTCTCCCACACTGTTCATTACAGGCCTTGTTTAAAGTCCAGACTTTTCTTCTGTTACTTATCCACATCATCCTGTAACACATTTGCATGATGCTTGTCGAGCAGCCACGTTGGCCTCAAACAAAGAATGAGCAGCTGCCTCTCAGTCCGACAATATTTCCTGACCAGAGCTGCTTCTGTTAGAGCTACAGAGTCAGAGATCCAAGGCTATAAACCAACGTTAACCAGCTAGTATGGGGTCAGCTGACCAATCAGAGCAGGCCGGGCCTGTCTGGAGTGTTTCAGACAGCGGCTAATAAGAGGATGTACAGTATGAGGGAAATTATGTGTTATAAGACCCCAAAAATAAAATTAGAAACCTGTAAACAAGCAGAAAATGAGAGCTTTAAGACCACAAAATAGAACTAAACTCAACAAAACCCAACATGGAGCTCAAACCTCAGTATCAGGGTCACCAGCAGCTTTGACAGAACAGCAGGATTTGACTCTCTGGGAATAACAACAGGCTGCTCTCGGTCCAAAAGTACAAAATCTCTGCTCAGCTCTTAATATGTCACCAAACTAACCTTAAAAAACAGTGCCACGAACTCAATCAGTGTTGTGTGACCAATTTATCCAGTTTTAGAGGCAGACTTTACAGAATCTAGTCTTTATTTCAAACTACAGGCTGAATCCAGCAGCACTGACCTGTAGAGATGTATTGGAAGGAACTGACTGCAAAGAATTCTGGATGTTGTTTCTCACAAATTGAAAGGATGATCGCACCTTTCCACCACATGGACGAAAGCATTTTAATCAGATAGCTCACTTTCAGGCTGAGACTGAATAATAACGCAAAAAATAAATTACAAACCTGTAAATGAGAAGTATATGGGTTCCTTGCGTAAAACTACAGGTGAGGTGTTTTTTATGTCGCAGAGGAGTCAGAACGGTGCACCAACATGTGGCTGGTATTTGTTGACAAGAAGAAAAATCCCCGGCTGAGCCTCGGTTTTTCAAGAAACATTTTCACAAGAGCATCTCTCTCATTAAGTGCAGCGTCATAAATCAAACAGATTTAAACAAATGTGTTTCCTCTGACTGAAATTAAAAGCAAGACCGTGCCTCTTTTGAATAAAGATCCCCAAACACAAAATGGTGTTTAACAAAAGCTACATAGTCTTGCCTTCAATGCACAATAAAGACAAAAGAAGTGTGTTCAGTGTTTCATGATTAAAGTCAGAATTTGCACCACTGCTTTAATAAGCTTATGGAAAGTCATAATTTAGATCTTCTTTACTTCTGTTAATTCTCGATTTGATTATTTTAACTTCAGAACTGTTTGAATTAGCAGGTAGTTGGAAGTTTTTCTTCATTCTTCAGCGCTCCTTGAACGCTGTAAAGTTTTGTTGGTCGCTGTGAAGAAACCAAAGAATCCTGCACTCACTGAACATCACCTGAAATCCCTTCATCACCTTCATTTTTAAAGACTGTAAAGTGTGCAGGATTCTCAGACTCCTTCACAGCGAGGAAGTCGCCTCTTCGCTGATCTGCGACACGACTCGGCTACAGGAGGAGCGGGGCGAAGAGAATCCAGTTGTTTTCGTGTCGTGCTCATGTTTCGGTTTACCGTCTCCCCGCCGACGAGGCCACCCTGTTAGAAGTTGGGTTTGTGCTTCTTGACCTCGACCATGAGGTGGTGCAGGTTGATGAGCTCTGAGCGGACGGCCAGGCTGCGAAACGTGGGCTGGTTCAGGATTTTGTGGAAGCCGTGGTAGTACTGGATGAGCTGGGTGAGGGCGCCCTGCAGGAGGAACAGGAATGTGAAGTGAAACTTACTTTCCTCTCTTGGAGTTCAGTTTCTAGAGATGGTATTGAACGTTTCCCCTTCGCTCCTCATATTAAACTCTTTATGTAAAAGTAGTATTTGTAACAGATGTGTACTCATCTGCAAATCTTCTATAGATTCTTGACCTCATGTAGACCTCATTGTAGGAGGACAGGCAAGCACTCCTTGTACCTCTCAAGGCCAGATTGCACCAAGGCACCAGACTATCTTTGTTTCCCTCTCACCCATAAATCTGGATGTGGCCCCCACCGAAGGAGGGTATAAGACTGAAGGCGTAAGAGAAATTCTTAGAATTGATGCTGGAACTGCTGTTCTGTTAGTGTCCCTTCTCCTGATATCAGTAAACCTTATTTCAGCTGAAGTCATCTAAGTCTCCGGTGTGTCTCTGTGTCGGGTTCCTCATCCTACATCAACCTCTTCCAGAATTCCACAACAAGGACAACTTAGTGCAGCCAAGTTTCTGGGTGTTTTGTTGCTTCTGTCACATTTTTCCTCACTGTGGGCTCATTTTTTACTGCAATATAAAGTCCTGCCCCTCTATGGAAACAGAACAACCAAGACAAGAAGTAGAAGGAACTTAAAAAATACCTTCTGTGCAATGTGACACAGTTATAACCTGCTGTGTGTAAACACAGCCTGTAGTTCAGCCAGTCAGGCCCAGAGGAGCCCAAAATTTTATTTATTTTTTTTATTGTTAGGATATGCTGCAAATGGTTTATTTTTGGCAAATTTATAAATGAGACATGTTGAATGATGTGAAATTCAAAGAAAAGGCACAATTTTAAGCTTAGATTTGGTTAAACTTTGCTATGAATCAGTGCGTCACAGACGAGTAGTTCAAGAACCGCCAGAAAGGTGAAAATCTGAGGATTCTGTTTTTACAGTTTCTGTCTGTTTTAAAAAATCTTGTAATTTTGGCAATTCTTAAAAAAGATAACATGTCTTTCAAACTTGCCAGCAGGTTTTGGGGTTCAGAGGGTTAAAAACTTATAATGAACTTAATCTCTATGTAATATTCCAGCTTATTATGAGAGTGGTTCATAATTTACTTGCATATATGTTTTAGGGAAAATGGAACTATTTAAAACATATCTGACATCAAAGCATCTTTTGTGGCTGATGCTCAGATCATCAGCTCTAATCAGACGTGAAGATTTGCTGTTTTGTTTGATTTAGATCAAGTCAGTTGGTGAAATTATTTCTCTGGTAAATAAAATTTCTAAATGCTTCAGGTGTTCCAACACAAACTTTCTCTAACAGGTCGATGAGTCAGACTTCTTGATATTTAAAGCTAAAATTCTCATTCTTTTACAAGAGATTAACATGTTAGAAAACCATCTGGTTTGCAGTAAGATCACAAACTCAACTGTTATCACAGAATCTTTCTGGCTGTAATTTACTCCACCAACCTTATTGAGATACTTTATTTACAAAAATATTCTCAGTAAGCCAACATGTCAGTCAGGCTAAACTGATTTTTTTTCATCAAACAATGCTTTGTGCCTCTTTAGTCATTTTTGTGTCTCTTTTAACATCTCGTGTGCACTTTGCTTCCCTCTTTAGTCATTTTGTGATCATTTTACAGCTCTTTGTGTTCATTTTCTTCCACTTGTAATCACCTTGTGTCCATGTAAAGCCTTTTGTTCTTTTTATTTTTTGACAACTTTTACTTGTTTTGTGTCTCCTTGTTGCCATTTACAGCTTCTCTGTGCTTTTTTTGAGTCTCTTGACATCAATTTTTAATCATTTTGTGACCCTATCTGGTGATTTTGTGTCTTTTTGTGTCCCTTTGCAGTGTTTTCTTCTCTTTGTGCTCTTTTTACATCTCGTGTGACATCTTGTTTTTCTTCTGCCATTTGATTGACTTTTCAACTCCCCAGAGATGCCCTGGATCGAGGCCTCTGACTGTTAACTAACCGTTCCATGCTGGCTGTGCAGTGTTTGTACACAGGGTTTGTTAAGCAACACCAGTAGAACCAGTCTGCTGTGTGTGTGACACACCTGCCGGCCGGCTCACCTGTATGATGCTGGTCCCATTTTTGAAGTTGGTGAAGGACCTCATGACATCCTGACTCATCGCCTCCACAGATTGTTTCCATGTGCTGGAAAACCCCCGAACCAGCTGAGTGATACGAGCTGCAAACACACCGACACACAGACGCGTTAATCTGCTGAAGTAAACTTTGTATTAGTTTGCATTGAACGGTTTGTGAATACACGGTCAGGCTGAGTTTCATGTTTTCCTTTGACTGGTGTCAGAGCTTCATATTTAGTTTCACATGTGGTGAATGTGGGAAGACAAAGAACAAAAGAAAAAGGATGTGGGAAGCTGAAGTGCTGCTTTAGAGTGACAGAGGAGAAACAAAACTGTGAGGACGGCTGAATGAAAGCCGCTCATTACTCTGTAAAACAGAACTAAACTGAGAAGTGGAGGAAATCTGCTCACACAGTAGTTAACCATCCAGCATGTTGGTGACTTCAACAGCGTGAGTCTGGAATATAGCAGGTCATTTATTTCTCACGAGTTAATCACAACTTTGGTGTGGTTTTTTTGTAAACTTTATGACATATTCCGAAGTGTTATTTTCCCTCGTTGTATTTCCCTCTAAATGTATCCAGTATTTAGTATTTTGCAGGTATCCAGTGCAAGTAAAACATTAAAAAAACACTAACCTCTAAAACCACAAAGCTGTCGGTTCCATAAAGCTGATAACTAGTGAGCTGTAACAGTGTTTTTACAGTAAATACACCAAAATCTACAAACTTGAAAGCTGCATCATGACAGCAGCAGATTTTTAGAAACAACCTGGAGACAATAAAGTATTCAAATCAAAATTTAAAATAGTTATTCACACAAACAGCCATGAAAAGTGACCAAACTGTGTCTCCAAACGTTTGTCTGTTAACAGATAACAGCAGTACAGATTTAATTACTAGATAATTTGCGGTCTGTGCTCAGAGAGGAAACAGAACAACCCATCTGCAAATACATACACACACACAAAAACTGGGTGTAAATGTGAAAACTGTTCATATTCAGCTTCCATAGGAGAAAAAACGGATTGTTCTTCATTTGTACCTCATGAAATGTTTGTGACATCACTCAAACAGCGTCTGCTCATGGGGGATTATTCCTCCTCCTTCCTACTGTTGGTATGTCTGAGTCAGCTCAAAGCTTTCTTGCAAAAATGAAATCCATTTTTCTCACCTTCTTCATTCTTCAGTCGGTCCAGCTGCCCTTTCTCCATCAGCGCCTCGGCCTCCTTCACGAAGGCGATCATCCCTCCAAAGGGGGGAGAAAGAATCTCCTCGATAAACTCCTGGAGAGAAGACAACAAGGAAAACCTCCGTTGTCATAAAATCATTCTTTCAAAACAAGATCAAAAACAAATCGGTTCAGAGGTTAAATTACATTTTTGTAATTTACAGGGTTTTTTTTTTCTTTCTTTTTTTTTTAAACAAAAATAACTGAATAATTGTACTGTCCATTTAAAATGTCAAAATTCTATTAATAAACAGTTCAGAACAGAAAAATGTAGGAATCCAAAAAAAATATTTTATAACATCATTTAATAGTATTTAAAAAAAATACATGAATAAAACTGAAATACAATAAAATGTCAGAAAACCATAAATAAAATGTGTGAAGATTTTCAAATAAATCTCAAAAGTGCTTGAGAAATTATTAATAATAGTAAAATAACATTACAAACATCAGATAAATATTCATTAAAAAAATAAAATACTGCTTAAAATGTTTGAGATGATAAAAGGGTCACCAAGTGTACTATGTGTAAAAAAAAAAAAAGAGAGTATGAATAAAGTATCGAAAAAATGTCCACATGCTAGCTAAAAAATGTCTGAAAATTCTTAATAAATGTTTTAAAAATGTTTCATGTTAAAAAAATATAGTAATGAAACACCTTTTAAAAAAAAAAAAAAAAGAAATATCTCAAACCTACTAAGATAAGATTTAAAAGTGCATGAAATACTACCTGAAAAGTTCTACCAACATGATGTAAAAATGTCAAAACATTTTGATGTGAAAAAAATATTTTTCAAATTTCAAATGTATTTTATTTAAAAGCCACATAAACATCAATAAAACAGCTGGGTTTGTTTTCATTAAAAAAACAAGTTGTGTGATTATACTCACCTGTGTTCTGGCCAGGAGCAGTTGCTGGAAACCTTCCACCTCTTTGCTGTCATCTGCTGCCCTCTCCTGGACAAACAAGAAAAAAACAACCAGCACAGAAAAGTCAGGTATTTCACTGAAACTTAAAACAGCCAGATGACAGAAACTCCACAGAGGACGAGCTGAGATCTGTGACGTTTCTCCCCATAAGAACAAACATTCAGAGATGTGACTTTACGCCTCCTGCTGGTTCTGGTCTCACCATGAGGACGCTCAGCATCATGTCGTAGTTGTTGATGAGGAAGATGAGCTGGTCTCTTCTGGAGGGAAACTCCGCCGCCATCTTCAGCACAAAGTTTTCTACTTCAACCTGGGAAACAATATTCACATCGTGTGTCAAATAATATTAGAAGACAAATTCAGTTTGTGACAGAAATAATTCTAATAAAAAAAATTACAATTAAAACACACTGCTGACTGAAGCATCGTTCGTTTGGATTCACTGTGGAAATAACATCTCACACAAACACTTTGACATATAATCTGGTGCATGACAGGACAAAAATAAAAGTGCAAACCATGTTATTTATTTTATTTAACTTTTATTGTTAGCATTTGACACTTTATTGTGCATTTTTCAATTTACTAGAATTATTATTTTTTTATTCATACTATATTTCTATACTAGTATATTTTTCTATTTCATTGATATTTATATTACATTTTTCTATTGTGGTGGTTCAGGTCACTTTACTCTCACTGCTTGCTATTGCAGCAACAGAATTTCCACTCAGAGATCAATAAAGTGTCTCTATTCTATTCTATTCTATTCTATTCTATTCTATATCATGCAGTTTGATCACAGCTAAGCACGAGTGTCTCAAGACCTCTGCACATAAAACTAAAAACTATCTTTTTGGCTCGATACCACTGCAGGAAGTGGGAAAATATATTGTGTGTGTGTGTGTGTGTGTGTGAGTGTGTGACCTGCAGCTGTCCCAGCAGAGCGTTGGTCCTCTCGTTTGGGAATGTTTGGTTGATGCTGACGATGGCTGACGAGAACTCTGCGTAGCGACGAGTGATCTGAAATCAACACACACACTCACTGTACTGACACACACTGAGGTGACACACATGGACATTGTGTGTGTGTGTGTGTGTGTGTGTGTGTGTGTGTGTGTGCTTACATAGTGTGGTCTGGTGTCCAGGACTCCCAGTTTCTGAGGGTCTGTGTTTCTAATGCTGTGGATGTTCATTTCCAGGATGAGTTCAAACCTCGGCCACAGTAATTCCAACACGGCCTCCCAGTACCTGACCGACAGGTGACGACACGTCAGCAAGCTCTGCAGCCTTAACCAGATTTTCTTTACAAATCTTTAGACTTTAAAAAGGTACAATATGCACAATTTTGAACACAAAGGTGCCGTTATTATTGCAGCGAACTGCAGCAGAGACTGAAGTCATGCCTCCTTTTTGTGTGCTTGTTGTCTCTCATGTGGTTTGGAATGAAAGTGAAAAGCGGGGGCAGATGTGGCCATTTGTTGTGTTCTGAGATGCTTCTACTCTAGTGACATCTAGTGGTTGCACAGAACCTTTAAAGCCTCTTCATAAAGCAGCTATAATCTGCTGCTTCTCTCTGCTTTATGGAGCTTTATAGCGAGCTTAATCTTTATCCGTTGAGCTACATCTTTACTGTTTTGGTTGATTCTCAGCGCTCTCATAGCATCATAGCAGCTCCAGTGTCAGAGGTGGAGGAGACTAAAAACAGAGCTAAAAGAGAGACATACAAACTCGACACCTAACGGACAATCTTGCAGCTGTGTAACTACTGGATGCAGAAATAAGCACCTGTTGGCTAATAAGTTCAACATATCAATTTAAAAGGGAAGTTTCACTACAGTCCAACCTGGCACATTTCCCATTGTGTCTCTAGGTATTGAGCTTGTGTTCCACTCTTCACCTCCAATCTCTATTTAACTTCAAAAACTGGACACGTTTAAGGATTTAAAGTGAGGAATCGCTAAAGGCTGATGTTGTCAAACTAGACAAACAACAACTCTGCAACTCAACATGAGTGTGTTTGACCTCCAGTGCAGCAGTATGAGGAATAACCTCTTCATAATGGAACAGAGGAACAAGAGAAGAAAACTTTTAAAAACATCAGAGGTCTTTCTATCGCAGAAGTGACTTTTTAGGAGGGATCAGAGATCACTGACTTGTCTAGAGCGGGGATGGTCCTCTTGGCCGTGATGGCTCTGAACCTGAGGATGATGTGGATGCAGAGGAAGACGGCGATGCTGTCGTAGCAGTCGGACACGTAGGTGGACATACTCTTCTGCAGGAGGAGACACAGAGGACAGGACTGAGTGACACAATATCACACACTGTTGTCTAGCTCTCTGGTACAGGACATACAGTCGTCCTCAAATGTATGCATACCCTCCCATTAAAGAAGGAAAAAAACAGCTGTCACCTAAATAAGCTGACATTGGCAAAAGTAGCAATAAATAAAAATTTAATGAAGGTCATGACATTGCTTTTGAATTGTGGTTCAACAGAAATATTAAAACAAAAAACAACAACAAGCAAACAAGCATGATGGGACCCGTAAACTAATATTTTGTTGAACAACTCTTTGAGTCAATCACTGCAATCAAGTGTTTTCTGTAACTCTCAGTCAGACTTCTGCACCTGTTGACAGGTATTTGGATTTTGGTCCACTGCTCATCAGCAAAGTGCTGTAATTTGTCTGGGACAGTTTATTTTTTTATTTATTTTTTTATATTCTTTTCAACCACAATTCAAAAGCAATGTCTTATTTCACTTCATTATAATTCAGCAAATATTTATTTATTATTACTTTTTTTCAGTTTCTAGTTATTTGAGTGACTATTGTGCCTTTATTTTGCCTTTTCTTTAATGGAAGGGTCTGAATACATTTGAGGACGACTGTATGACGTTTTCTACAATTTCATTTGGCAGATACTTTTATCCAAAGCGACGTACATCTGAGAGCAGACACAACACAAGCAAAGATGTAGTCAGGAGAAAACAATCTGGATAAGTGCCATAGAACAAGTTCAAGTGTTCAAGGGCGTTGATGCAAATAGCAGGTTGTGTGGGAGGTAACAGGATTTTGTTTGTTTGTTTTTGTTTTGTTTGTTTTCAGTCTGTCAAGTTTATGGCTGTGGGAAACTTGAAGAGGCATTTTTCATAATGTTCTGATGTGTTACAGAGTAAATAAGAGTGAATCAAGAAAATAATCTGCAGATTTATAGTCAGTTGCAGCTCAATTTTTTGCTCACTCTGCCACCTTGAATGTGTATATTTTTTTGCCGCTTTAGATGAATAAATATATAAATCCATTCTTTAATCTATTTGCAAAAGAATCAAAGGATTACAGACATGACCTTTATAGCCCGAGGTGATTTTTGTGCTACGTGAATAGATCCTGTTTGAGTCCATTTGCATCACTTGAACATGACAAAAGGCTGTTTCTGAAAACTTTCACCCTCCAACAGTGAGAGCAAAAGGCTTCCTACCAGGAACATGCTGAGAGTTTTTCCCATGATGCTGTTGAAGAGGTCGAGGGCAGAGTTTCCAGCCACCATGAAGAAGTCGGACAGGAAGAGGTATTCTCTGCAGCCGTTGTCCAGCAGAGCGTAGTGCTGGCTGCGGAACAGTGTTTCATAGGGATACTGCAGGAGAGAGGGACAGTTATACCCAGTTATAATCAGATTAAGTATTTTAGGACTCTAGTTCCAAATCATTTCATCCTATGTGTTTAAAATGATCTCACAAGACACCACCAGATGTCAGTGTTGATCAACAGTGTGTTTTCAAAAGCCAGAGCTACGATCAGCTCAGGATGTTTCTGAAGACAATCTGAAGAACAGTATAGGTGTTTCTGCTTTAACATTGATTGTTCGTAATTTTTCACATGGTTTTGGAGCTTGTGCTCATGTGCGCATCTGAACTGTTTTTAATCACATTTCGACAGGATTTTATGGTTATTCTGCTGCTGTCAGATCACATCTTTAAACCAGCTGCAGTCCCTTTTATAATTGTAAGATTCTGCTTCTTACATTTGCTTCACATCACTGAATTCCTGTCACCTTATCAACGTGGTGTACTATTGATGCTTATTTTTGTCATATACTACCCACCGCAGTAGCCTGAGCACTTTCCCTAATTTGCATTTTTATACCAAATTAAACCACGACTCTAACCGAGGAACTGTGTCTGTTAAAGCAAATCCTTTGTTGCATTTTTGTTGACAATGAGGCTTTCTGTAACGTGTCACTCTAGATTTTTCCGCTTTTCTTCACAGACTGCTTCCTTTCATAAGTCCAGTATGTATCTTTACTTTCCTGGTGCCGCTGCTTTGAGCTGCTACAGATGTTTCAGAAGGGGTTACTCCATTACAGATCATCCTGAGGTTTTTAGAACGAGTCACCCCAACCCTCTGGCATGGACACAGTCTGTCTTATTGTACTGTGTTATCTCTTCTCTTTGTTGTCTCACCCTGCTGTCTCCTCTCTGAGCTGTATGTGGAACCAGGATCGGACCCTCCAGCTCTGCAGGACTCAGTATGGCCCCCCTCTGGCCCAGAGTGAAAATGGTGTTCCTGCTCTTCAGAGACGGTTTGGAGAAGAAACCTGCAGCAGCAATGAGTTAAGGAGCATCATACACTCTCAAGAGTCCTCAGTGAACTCATCAGTGAACAGGTATTTGACTGGTCTGTGTTATGTGTGTCACACACCTTCACCTTAAGTGGATAGTTATTAAGGTGCTTCCTTTTGGAGGGCAGCCAGCGCTGGTTTCTGGCGCTTTGCCTGCTTAACATCTCATAAACATATTTTAAAAGCCCGTCAATGACGTTCGAGCTGACTGCTCTGTTGCTTGAGTGGAAAAGTGTTCTGGCAAGACTTTGGCAAAGGACATAAAAAATTTGAACCATGAAGCTTAACCTGCAAGCTGTAACCACTACAAAGGACTTATCTGGATTTATTGTTGCCTGCTCGTGGCAGGCTGCTTGTAAAAGTCTGTAAAGGAAACTTTTAACACTCTTTGTGCATCATCTGTTTTGCACACAATTTTGCCCATATTTCTTGCTTAATACCATGTAAACGCCACAGGACTGCAGTTACTGGCCTCCATGGGAGAACTGTAGCACTGTTGCAAGAACGCAGTATGCAAATCACTTAAACATAGATAGAAATATGATGTTTAAATATAGAGCTAGAACGGCACACTTAGACTTGAAAGGATATCTTTCTTGGCCGTGTCTTCGACTCCCATCAGGTCGTCTTTGTCCGCCACCTCCTCATACTGCAGCAGCACAGAGAAACATCACGTCACATCTGTTAGTCATGAAATTGGTAAACTATTAGAAAGAAGAGAGCTGTGATAGAAACACCGATCCACTGACCTGAACTTTGAGCAACCGGCCGCTGTACGATTTGAAGTAACTGTAGTAAATCTTGCTCATCGTGTCCACGTACTCGTCTCTGATCTCCTTGGCGACAGTTCTCTCATTGGCCAGAAGAAACTGGTAGAAAAACCTGCAGCGAGACGAACAAAACGATGGCTGTCATTCAGGAAACAGGTTTTAAAATGTTCATAGCTGAATTACCTTGGATTTAAGAAGTTGAAAAGACAAACTGCAATAGCCTTCTGCAACATTTTCTAACAAAAACACTACAACATGTTGCCAGAAATGTAAAAAATAATAAAAATCAAACTGTGTCGAGGGTTTAAACCTTTGAAGCCAAAAACCTGCTGCTGAGTTTGAAAGATGTGTTATGTTTAAAAAATAACTAATAAATAAAAATTGGAAAAATGACACTGTTATCACAACCACAAACTAAAAGAATGATCAGATTAGGAACTTTCCAACAATCCTTAAAAAAATAGGATGTGCTGTTGGGTCAGGAAGAGTTCAGGAAAAGGCTTTTTACAGTTTCTGTAAAATAAATAATCAAAGAAATTCAACTTCTGCTTCTTCTGTTTATATGATTTATGGCATTATAACATTCTGCCCAAAAGACATTTTCGAATTCTCTCTACTTTAATACTATCCTCCTATATGATCATGCTCGCTACGTGAAGCACTTGGTAACTTTGTTTAGACAACTTGTATACAAATGAAGATATTATTATTGAAATAAAAAGAACCTCATTAGTACAAGATTATGCGACAGAATATTTACATTACAAAAACCAGCGGTGCCCACCTGTACTTCAGCAGAGTGTTCTGTGGGATCTGGTAGTTGGTCATCGGCTTCCTGAAGGAGTAGATCTTCTGAAGAATGAACTCTCTGATCTTCGACACGGCCTGAGGAGGAGAAAGTACATTAACTTTAATCTGAAATCAGAACATGTGAAACAAAGAAAAAAGGTAAATTAAGGACTTTTATTTGTTATTTTAATTTTATTCGACACAAGGTCACTGTTGTACATGTTGTACAGCAGAACCCCAACAAAAGCAACAAAAACACATTAAAATACTAAAGCCTGAGAATAACGAGTGAGATGAAGATGTTCGTGTCCACCTCCTGCCTTTGTCTCTGTGTGAGTGTCACCTTGAGTTTGAGGCGGTCGACGATGTCCTGGATGTCAGAGCAGGCCAGCGTCTCTCTGAAGCTCAGCTCTTTGGCAAAGTTGATCTTGTTGTTGAGTTCGTGGAGCTGCTCCAGAAACTCCTGCTCCGTCACCGGACTGTCCAGGATGGTGCTGCGATGACACAACATCAAGAACAACACGGTAATTCTTCCCCTCTTCAACGACGACTTCAGTGCAATAATATGATATTGATTAGTTTGAACACATCCAGCCTATCTGCTTTTATCTCAGAAGATAAAATCAGCAAATATTTGGCATTTCCTCCTCTCAGATAACTGAGTAGTGACTGATCACTTGTTTAAGATTTTCTAGTCTCACTCAGATTCTATTTCCAGCTGTCAAACTTACGAGATCATGGCTCCAGGCACCACTAGCTCGTCCACCAGCTGGCTGAGGTGGCTGCGAACGGCCTGTCGGTTCTTCAGCCGGACGTTCATGCTGACCGACTGCTGCTGCAGCGTCTGGATCTCGCTGCTGATGGAGGAGAGGTCGCTCTGGAAGCCGCTCAGCATGCCCTCCATACGCTGAGACAGAAAACCACCAGCGGGTGAACGTTTTACATTTTTTGAGAAAACACAGCCTGTTATGCTGACATCAATAAATACCGGCTCACTGTCTGATACAAGCTGACCTCAACCTGCAGTGGCTCGTCTCATCTTACCTCTAGTATGGAGTCACAGGCGGTGATCTGGTTGTGCAGCAGAGCGATGTTCTGACTCTCCTTGATGTCTGAAAGACGAACGCTCAGGAAAACTGAACAGATCCGAGTCCTCACTTAACACTCACACGCGCCAAAATTATGATTTCAGTTAAACAGTTAGAGCTTCAACATTAAATCCAATAATAGATTAGTTGGGTAATGGAAAAAAAATCTACAGTTTGCTTTGTGAAGACCCGCTGCTTTTTCAGTGTTGTCTAAGAGTATATATTTTTTACTCGTGTTAGTCAGACAAGACAAATCATTTGCTGGAATCGTCTCAGGATTCAGGAAACTGTTACACTTTTCACAGTTTTGGAAGCAAAACAATAGAACAATAAAATGGACAGATTAATCAAAAATGAAACTAATCATCAGCTGCTAAAGTTCAGTGTCTTATCAACACATCAGGAAGTGAAGATATGCAAATTTTTAAAGATGTTGAGGCACAAATGCAGGTACACAACATGACTTCAGACATCTTTGTATCTTTGTACATTTTGGCAGTTTCTTTGAACTTTGCAAAGTTCAGAGGGTTTAAAGTTTGTAGTGTTTTCAGGAAACCAAAAGGTAAAAGGCCAGCTCTCATGTAAATATTGCTCCAAGTGTGTCTACTGAAGGATACAGTCTTTGATGGAGGCCTGTTCGATCCTCTGCAGCTCCGCCTCCACCTGTTTAGAGTACTGACGGAGGTCAACACCCTGAAAACAGACGAGAGAAGAGGCTGCTGTCATGATACACAGTGGAAACATGCTGAGGTTTAGCTTTATCCAACAAAAGTTCATTTGTATTAAAAAGGTAAAAGGCTGAGCTTCTACAGTAGCAGTGACAAGTTTGAACACAAAGACTCATTTGAGAGTTTTCCTTTATCTTTACTATTTCCTGCAGTGCAAAAGAAAACTGAAGACATCCAAAGAAAATGACTGTGCAGGACATTTCAAAAAAGTTTCTTCAAAAAGCATCAAACACTGTGATGAAAGCAGTTCTGATGAAGACAGACTGAGTTCCCTCTGTTCCAGAGGAGACTTCATTAGATTTAGCAGCCTCACAAATCAACTATTACCAAGCTGACAGACACACAACAACTGTGACACAAAACGATGGAAATGAGACACAAAAACCCAGAGATTCAAATCAATTGCATGAAGACACAAAAAACCCCATGAAGCAGAAACACAATGACCCGAAAGAGACACAAACTATCTACAAAGGGATTTTTTTTAAAATCCAGAGATGCAAAATGTTTACACAAAAGACACAAAACAACTGCAACAAAACAGAGAAGAAAGGAAGACCAAGAGTTCTTTTGGTCTCTTGGTCTTGGTCTTTCCTTCAGGAATGACAGAGGACACAAATTATTACATTTAATTAGACAACTAACAGCAGCTCAGATTGGAGTCCACATCAGTGTTTCTCAGAATTCCCGGAGCAGACAAATGACAGCATCAACATTTGGGATGAGACTGTGTGAATAACGCCTTCATGGTGGAACTACTGCAAAGAAACCACTACTGAGGAAGACCAAGACGAAAAGGAGAACTGCTGGGACCCAGAAATAAAAGGAGTGGACATGAGACCAGAGGAAGCCTGGACTTTGGTCTGATGAGTCCAAATTCTCCAAAAAGTAAAAGCATGCCAGTGTATCCAAACTTCTTACTGGTAGTTCAATTGTATAAAAAGAAAAAGAAAAAATGGCCTCCATAGCTGTGTGTTGCACTCCCACCCCCCAGACCCACCTCCCAGATCAAATGTGTGTTATGATGTTCTCACCGTTTTGAGGGCCTCCTTCACCAGATCATCTTCTAGATTGGCCTGAATATGAACTGCAGGAGACGAAAGGAAACAACATTTAATGACAAATAAACCTCACACTGAAACTCTGAACACTCGGTGGTCTTTACCAGGCAGCAGCTTCCCTTTAACACTGAGAAACTCTTACTGAAGAGCTTTATCATTTCACAGGAGATGTACAATATCCTGGATAGAGCTTTAAACTGCAATAATTAGACATATTAATGTTGCCTTACTGTCCACTTCATCCAAGATAAACTCATCGGTGGTGAGGTCCAGTTCCCCCAGGTTGAGGTTAGCAATGTCGCCATCAGTCTTCTAGAGAAAAGGCATAAGATGATACACAAATCGTCTTCAGTGGTACGTCTATCTTGTTAAGAATTGCAGTTTAAGATTATTTTCATGATCAATCAATTGTTTGGTGAATGAATGTCAGTAAATAGAGGGAAAGTGTCCATCACATGCTCCCAGAGTCTAAGATGATGTCTTCAGAGGTCGGCTTTGTCTGATTGACACTCAAATTATAAAAGGTTTTTTTGTTTGTTTCTCTTTAATTCACTCATTTGTTTATTCTGGTACCATAGAAAGCATATTTACAACGTTTATACATACACAAAGTGTTATACTTAGCATTACAGTTGCAGGGATTAGTAGAATACACAGATTTCCCCACAAAGAGAAGATAAATCTGAAACATTTTCATTCAAATGCTTACATCATTTCCCAAGAGAAATACTGTCAAAAATTGACTGGAGTTTACAAGACCGTTTGCTGCTTGTTAAAGCAGTTAAAAAAACATCTTCAGCTTGTATCTGGATGAGTCACAACATGTAAATACACAAAACGTTATTTCTTTGGTGACAACAAAACACTTTCTTTGTAAAACTATACAATTTCCTGTAACTGACTGATCGTGACCACAAAATGTTTGCGGTTTATAGAACACTCAGGCCTGTCATTGAGGATGATTATTTACAAATACCATAGCATTGTTGTAGAATTTTATCAAAAGCTGTATGTGTTTGATATGTATAACATCCTTGTTTATGAATAAATAAATGATCTCTTTTGAAACTGTCCTACTTGCTTAATGTGTAAAATTATAACCCTCAAAGTAAATCAACTACTTTTGATGCATTAACACCATTTCAGTCACAAGGCAGGGGCTGCTGTTACTCTGGGGCAGGTGGAAAACTGCATTATATTAGTTGAATTGGTCGTTTAGAGCTGTTTCAATCAGGACACAGAGCAGGTAAAATAATGCAGAGACGTGAGGATGAACGCTCTGAAGAACGCAATCAGTCTATGGCAAAACACCAAAAACTTAAAAAAAAAAAGAATAAATAAATAAATAATGGCATTTAGGATTTTTGGTGAATGGCTGCAACGATTTAGAGATAAATTTGTTGTCAGGTGATTTTACATGACAGTGACGTTTCACTTTGTCGCCACAGGTCTCTTTCAGGAAGCTTTTTACTGTTTTGACGGGATGCTAACAGCTACATTAGCTTCAAGCAACATCAAAGCACCTTGTGAAAATATACATTTCGACAATATTTCGTCGACATGTCACAACTACTTTTCATCGGTATAGCCGGATACACTGCAGGCAGCTAAATTACACCTCATTGATAACGCCTGTTAGTTTTCATGAACGCTAACAGGATTCAGTAGCGTCAGAGCACACAAACACCACTAATGTTTCATATTTTCTAACAACAATTTGGAAATATAAGCAATGCAAATGATTACCTCGTCTTGTAAATATGCCATGGCGATTTCTGTAGGGTTTCCAGCTGTGTTTACATCGGGACCAGCTCCGACGGCTACTGCGGCTCCGTCCGCCATTGCGGCGAATTGACGCTAACGTTAAAAAAAATAAAAAATAAATACAAATGTATAGTTCCGCCTCGTAGACATTGAACACGAAAAATGTCATTTGTTTTTTTAACGGAGAAATATGTTGATACGAATATGCATATATTATCTGTTAAATAGACTTTTTTTTAAAGCCTAAAATAAGTTCAATTTATATTTATTTCGTAATACTATATTAGCATATTAGCTTGTTTTACCGGACAAGTTGAAAGTGGTGGACCAACTTCCGTTCACAGTTGCTTGAAACTATCGCGAGACCTTTTCGGCTTCCTCTTCGCACGGAACCTACTTCCAAGATGGTGAGTATGATTTCTACCAACCTGGTACAGTTTTAAAATCCACGATCATCCTGCGTTAATCTCAAAGATTTATTATATCTAGACGTCAGATAAATCTTAGAAGGGTTGTGTTAGCGTAGTGATAATGAAATGTTGGTGTTTTGGTGGTAGAAATTATTATATTAGCGTAAACTGCTGTCGACGCTCAGTTGATCGTCGCTAACTAGAGAATAGCTGAGTTGATATTTAGTGGTTGCGGCTAATGTTTTATGTTTATTCTCAGTTTATTACAAAGCTTTAACCGGGAATAAACTGCAGTTTTCATGTTACCGATACAAGCCTGGGGACCACTCATAAACTCAGGCGGTTAGCTGTTAAGGCTAACTAGCTTTAGCCTCTCCTAGGAGGGAGTCTGCATGCTGGTGTCGCCGGGCTGAGAGGCAGTTAGAAGACGTTCCTCCGGTGTGTCTACACAGTACTTGGATCAGTTAAAAGTGCTGCTAGGTTGTTGTGGTTTGCAGTAAAGGGAGCTCCGTTACTCTTGGTCATTTTGGCGGAATATAAACGTCTGTGTAAGAGCGGCAACTGGTCTAACTGTTCTACCTGGAGCCAAAAAATGCTAGCTAAAGATACAGACAAACTCAGAGGTGTATTTAGTCCTTCCAAACTACCAATCAGACACTGGGCATACCGCTTGTGAAAATATCTTACTACCTGACAATACTGCATTTCTAAGTTGTTGCATATCAGTTTCCATGTTCATGAATGCTGCTTTAGTTTGAACTCACTCTATCACTTCAACTCTGCACAGTCTTCGATTGTTCTCTCCAGGTTTGACTGAAAATGTGCCCTTCTTCAAAGTAGTATTTCTACAGCTCTTTCTAGGGCTGAATAGTTTCTAAATTTTGCAATATGAGCAAGTGCAGTATCCAAATCTCAGGAGCTGCATGAAGGTAAAATGTGTCATAGCTTAAAATATCATAGTATTATGGTTGGCAGTGGGATGAAAACAATCCAATTTACACTATGATCGTGATTTTCACAGCAGTATCTTCCAAAATCATTGCAACCTGAAGTTTTGTTTTCTTTTTTTTTTTTTACATGTAGCATTCAAGACTAGCTCATTTTGCACTATATGTACACTCAGAGGCTCACTCACCCCTGATGATGTGTTTTCTTTGGTGATTTCAGTCTCTGGTCATCCCTGAGAAGTTCCAGCACATTCTTCGTGTTCTGAACACGAACATCGATGGTAGGAGGAAGATCGCCTTCGCCATCACTGCCATCAAGGTACGCTTTTCTCTGCTGTGATGGTTTAACAGCAAGTTGTAGCTAAATGTGTCACATTCTCCGTTTAGGAATGTCATGAAAGGTTGTTGCTAACATCCCTGTCTGTCTGATCTCAGGGTGTTGGCAGACGTTACGCCCATGTCGTCCTGAGGAAGGCCGACATTGACCTCAACAAGAGGGCTGGAGAGCTGACTGAGGAGGAGGTGAGGAGAGCTGAGATGAAACTAAAATGCAAGATGTGTTCTACAGTTTGATGATTGAAAATGTTGCTCAAAGGCTGAAGTTATCAAAAGCATACACTGTGTATACTAGATTGCTTCATGCTTGATAAATTCCAGGAGTTTGATGACTAGAAAGCACAATTTTAATGACATTAACAATAAAAAAGTACCAAATGTTTTGCTCAGTTTTCACTTTTTGTCAATAATGCAGGGTTAAGAGTCTCTGTTACGTCATGTGTTTCCTGTAAAAGTCTTAGATCAGATTGTGTTGGTCTCTGTATTAAAATAAGCTGTATTTGTTTTCCAGGTTGAGCGGGTGGTGACCATCATGCAGAATCCTCGCCAGTACAAAATCCCAGACTGGTTCCTCAACAGGCAGAAGGACGTCAAGGATGGCAAATACAGCCAGGTAGGTGACCAGCAGCAAGGTGTTCTGTTCTCACACACTGATGCAGTGTAGACCACTAACGGACGTATTTCTTTGGTTGGCTGAGTTTGTGTGGTGTCCCTCCCTCGTTGTTTTTTGTTGTTTTTTTTTTTGTGTTGTGTGCTGCTCGTCTTTTGACTGTTGCTGCGTCTTGTTTCAGGTCCTCGCCAACGGTCTGGATAACAAGCTGAGAGAAGATCTGGAGAGGCTGAAGAAGATCAGGGCTCACCGTGGTCTCAGGCACTTCTGGGGGTAAGAGATCCAGTCTGATCCTCTGTTTGTTGATTCAAAGTCCAGTGAGATGGACAAACATGATGCCTCTGCATCCATACGTCCTGTTTATCAGATGATGCACGGTTGCGGCTCGCTGGCAGCGTTGTTGGTGATCTGTGACAAAGTGTTCAGTCTCTGTAAGAGCTGGAGTTTGTGTTTCTGAGGCTTTGAAGAACTGCTTCTCAGGCTTAATGAAACAAGAGGCAACTTTGTCCCAGTTAAAGGGTAAACAGAGGATATCTGGTGCAGAGAGAGCCTGTCCTGGAAAAAACTTGAACTGCAGAAGAGCTGCTGAGCTCAGAAAATGTTTTTGGAGTTGGGTTACTAATTCCTTATACAGACTTTTAGACAGTGTCCACACTAAGCTGGCTAATTGAAGCTTTTTCTGTTTCAGCCCTCAACCTGGATTAAAACATTTCTTTCCACCTTAATAATGGAGCTTTTAAACTTTCAGACAAGTTAAGACAGAACTAAATTGATCCCGAAGGAAGTTCTTGTGCTCTGAAAAAAAAAAAAAAATCACAACATGAGAATTAATGCAGTAAGAAAAGCAAAAAGTACGAAACACTACTGAATCAGAATAACACAAGTCTAAAATAAGACGACAATAGAAGAGTAAGAAGTATTACTGGCAGGGATGCAAAGTAATACAGTCATATTGCACATGATATTGTAACTTCAATTGCACATATAATTGAAAGTAATATTTGGAGGTTAACTGTGAAACTGCTGCCTTGGCTTGAGGTATTCGGGGAAAACTGAGCTTTGAAGAAACATTTGTTTTCTTGAAATGAGCAGGTTTAAGGAAGAAGCTGTAGCTGCCATGAGAAGACGGCAGAAATGAATTAGCTATTGTAATAACTACTCATGCAAGGTTATGGTACCTAGTGTGGTAAATATTGTAGAGCTTTTTTTTTTTGTCCCCCAGCAAAGCAGTATTCCAGAGTTTAATAAAGAAAATAGTTTTGTATTGTTTGCTTTTCTGGTTTTGTAACTAAAATTCAACACATTCTCTCGCTGAATTTGTTGTAATTTGCTGCAGTTGTGTTAAAAATGTTGGGAAGCTGCTGCAGAAACAGTAGTTTGACTGTTCTTCTGTTTTCTGAAGCTGGAGGAGTTACACATGTGGGTGTTTTAACGTGGACAGAGGTGCACAAACTGAAACACCAGCTGTGGATGTGTCTGCTTAAATTTTAAATTCAGCCAGCTCCGTGTTGACAGTCGGATAGTAGCTCATAAAACGAAGCACAAGACTGTCAGGAGTAAGAGTGAATGTTGGATTATTTTCTACCTGAATTAAAACTAATGTGTTGCCGTTGTTTTTTTCTTTTTGTTTTTTTTTTTGACGGCCTCTCAGTACTTAGATTGTGATTTTAGACTTTGCTTGTCTTAACTTTTATTCTGTTTCCTCTCTCCCTACAGTCTGCGTGTGCGCGGTCAGCACACCAAGACCACCGGACGTCGTGGTCGCACTGTCGGTGTGTCCAAGAAGAAGTAAACTCCCCTGCTTCCCTTTTTGTTTCAATAAAACACCACAGTTCACAAAAACCTTTGTGTCCAGGTGTCTGTTTCACATGAAGACACTCGTACAAGGTTGTTGGGGGGGATTTGTAAATTCAGTGTTTGGATTTTCTCACTTTAACAGAAGGCTTAATCCACTTGTAAAGCTCAGCTGAAGGTAATTAGAATTTTCTTGATGCCACAAAGCTAATTTCAATAAGCAAACAACCTTTTGGTACAAAATATAAATCGGCAAAACAGTGATGTTGAACACTGCACACAATTTCCGTTCAATAGTTTTATTGTGCTGAATTGCTAAGTGAGGAAAAAATGAAAAGGGTACAATTACACAACAGAGGAAAGAAAATATTGCATTTTTTGTATTATACAAATATCCCATATAAACTGAGGTAAAGTAGGAGAAATTATATGGCTGCTGCAGGAAATGTAAAGTGCGTAAGAACAAAGGAATTGGAGCCAAGAGTCAAAACGGTGGAGAACGGGTTAAATCATATCGAAGGCTTTTGTTTTTTTTTCTGAGGAAAATCCATGCAAATGTGTTAAATTCTAAAAAACAGAACAGTAGGTGTGAACTCCACCTCTTCTTACATTAAAGGGGAAAACAGGAGTAACGGTACAGCTACATATTTAAATGCTGAAAATGAGCATATCTAGTAAAATATAGCAGAACGTTTCATATCTGTGTGGATTTTGTATGTAGTTGATAAAGGAAATTTAAATTAGTCCTAAATTAATGCTTTTCCAATTCAAGGAAACTACCACCCTTTGATTCCTGCTTTTAAAAAACATTAACTCCTAATATTCTGAACTGTAAGACACTGAAATCTGTTGTATTTCTGCATCTTAACTGTTAAATTGTATTCAAACATTTTAAACTGGTTCTATCGGTGTAAATCAGTGACAACAGGTCCAACTGAGAGCAAACACTTAATGCAGCATTATTCTAGTGCCAAGCTGTCCCACAGTGATCCCGTCACTCAGGAGGAAAGAGCTTCAGTCACACACGTCCTCAAGACAGAAATTAAATTATACAAAGATTTCATAAATAGATTAAGTCAGACATTAAATGCAGATCAAAGAAAATCAAGCAAAAACTGAGCAAAAAAATCTTGCTTTGACTATTTGATCAGTTTCTCTAAGATCTTGTCAGGAAAAAAAAAAAGGAACACAGTCAAATATACCAGCAAGCTACCATCAGATATCTACCTGGTCAGGTTTACCTTTAGTCACAAGGTTACGGGAGCCTATTTGTGCCAAGATATGTGGAAAGAAGAAAGAAACATTAATGCTAAATTGCGAGTCAACATTTTAATTACTATTCAGACATTTCCGCCAAAATAAAATGCGGTCACAGCTGAAAGGTTTGGCCCTTGTTGGGAACTAGAAAATGCTGTGACTTTGTGGGAGGGTCTAATTTAACAACAGAAAAGCTAAAAAGTGTTCAGTGGTCTACTTATTAGATATAAATCTGGGCCTCAACAAAGACATTAAAACACAGAAAACAAGCTGTGGTCAATACACCAAAGCAACTTGAAAAGTTGGTCCCAGCTGAGTCTCTGTTGGACTCAAAGTATGTACATAAGTATTTGAATCAAGATGCTTAAAGCTGCAGGTAAACAACGCAACGCCGCCATCTTTTCCCCTGACTACGTATACAGTTAAAAAAAAACAGAAAAGCAATGGTTCTGCCACAGATCTGTGAAAATTCGCACAGAGCTGCCACAGGTGGAAAACTGAACCGGTTCAAGAGGCAGAAATTCTGTTGGAAACACAGTAAAAGTGATCATTTTTAAAACAATGCTTAACCTAGAGAGTCAAATGTTTAACCTATACTCATCTCAGAACGTATGGCTTTGTATTCCAGAATTTTAACTAGAAAATATTATTTAGATATCGTTTTTGATTTTTGTAAAACTTACATTTTCTTGGTGGAAATGGGTGACGATGGTTATCAGTATCTATTAAAAAAAATAAAATAATAATGATAATAAAAATAATAATAGTTTCTTAATTTTTGTATATTTTGCAAAGTTCTTGTTTGGCAATTTGTGCAAAAACAAGTGCAATTCATTCATTTTTAGAAAAATTAAGTGTCCGGAGGAAAGATGTGGAGTTGATGCTAAAACTTGATATTTTGGCAACAGTCTTGAAAACAATTCAAATGAAATCCAGGAGAAGTTGTTACCAGGAAATGCTGAAGCTGCAGTAGCAGGTTGCGCACAGTGCTCCCTCTCTTTAAAAGCGTAACTAATAACAAGGAATGCAGCGGATGGAAATTCTTTTCATCAAGCGGCCACAGTGGAAAGGTAATCCCATATTTCCCTGATGTCTTGAACGCATCACCAAGCAAACATCAGAAAGGGGTTTTCAGAGGATGTCTGCTTATTAACAGCTGTTAGTCAGTGGCTTGTTTGTTTTATCATCTTTCCTTGCAGGTCCCAATCTGCTCGTTTTTCATTCTTGATAAATCCTCCTTTAATTATCGGGTGAGACGTCCGAGGTTCCAAATGAACAAATCAAATAAGTTCAGTTTAATGCCTGTAAATTAAAAACAATGCGGATTATACTCTGAAATCGTGGCGGTTGAAGTTCCACCTTCAGTAAGAAGACATGGTTATAAACAGAGAACAGCAGCTCTTCCTCATCCCTCCCTCTGCTGGGGTGGAGATTTCTGCTGGAGTTGCTGCTGCTGCTGCTGCTGCTGTTGTTGCGGTTGCTGCTGTTGTTGCGGTTGCTGTTGCTGTGGTGGTTGTGGTTGTTGTTGTTGTGGTTGCTGTTGGTCCTTGGTGGGAGCGTAGTAAAGCTCCAGAGGCTTCCTCACCTTCCAATATTTCTCGTTGACCAACTCCAAAGTCAGAGAGCCGTTGAGCGTCTTAGAGGAAGGATGGAGGGAAACAAAAGTAGGTGGATGAATTGCAGTGAACAGACAGTTTCGGATATATTTGTCCACATGACATAGTTTGCTCTGTTCACAGCATTGAAAAAGACCCATAATCACTGACCAGGGATACATGGAAAGATTATAAGCAGTGCCTCTAATTTGAAAAAAACTGAAATTGTATGTATGGTTTTTTTAGCTTCATATTGAAACCTGTAAGACCTGAACACCAGGTTTAGAGGGCTAGTAAGCTAGCAAGGAAGTCACAGTAGGTAGCTAGTTGTACCACACAAATGGCTAAATGTGACAGCTATATAAACTTGATCTACAATAAAAGAGCTAAAAGCAAGTTTAAAGTAACGGACAAATGGGTGAAATTCAGCTACAAGTAAAAGATACTACGTCAACATGCTCAACCAAAGTAGCTAGATCGCTACATCAGTGTTAAACAATGAAAATAATTTGCTTGTAATCACAAATAAAAGGTTGAAATAGCTAAAAATAATAGGATAATAGGTACAAAGTAAAGCCTCGCTAAAAGTAGCTAGACAGCTAAATTAATGCTAAACGGTTAAAATGATTAGCTAAATTAACGGTTGAAATACAGCTAAAAGTAATAGACACAACAAACTACATTCATGCTATATAGTTTTAAAAAGTGCTTACAGCCTTTAATGGCTAACTGAAGCAATGGATAAATGGTTGTTTTGCTAAAGTAATAGCAAACAGGTGTGATACTTATTTAAAAGTAAATAAATGGTTGGACTATAGCTAAAAGTAACAGATATATAGGTCAAAGGTTTAGCTTAAAGCAACTGGATGGCTACATTAATGCTAAAAAAATTAAATGGCTACCTCTAGAAAAATAAATGGTTGAACAGTAGCTAAAAATAACAGAAAAAATAATTAAACTAGAACAAAAGTGGCTTGAAAGCTAAAATTATTCTTAACAGTTAAAATAGTTTGGTTAATGGTTACAGTAAAGCTAAAACCAATGGATAAACAGTTAAAAGTGTGAGCTAATACAAGATTAGTCAGCCTACAGGAAGCTAAAAGTCATGATGTTCAGCAATGGACACCTGAACACAAGCCAACCTAAAACAGTTAGCTCAGAGTAACGGGTAAATGGTTGAAATGTCGTCAAAAGTAATAGAGACATGACTAGCAAAGTAACATGAACATAGATGGATAGCTTAATTTTTGCTACAGACAGACATTTTGATTGGGACTTTTCAAGGTCTTTTTGGGAAACACACTTTTCTAACTGATAAAACTCTTAAATCTACTCAATATCAAGCTTAAAGCTAAAATCTTGACCTGTTTCTTTAACACTGAAAAAGGCTTTGAGGCGACTGCTCATGATTCTTATCAACACACATTTAAACGACTTATTTTAATGCTGAAACAGGTGACTTGGTTTCGTTACTCACAGAGAACTGTCCTCCCCTCGTCATGATGTAGATGGTGTACTGTTTCTCACTGATGTTGCTCAGACTCGATCCCTCGCCGCTCGCTGCTGTTTCACCTCCTCCCCCGGCTCCTCCCTCCTCTCCTCCTGCCTCCTCCTTTCTGCCCTCCTCCGCCTCCCCGTCGCTCCGTCGGTCCTCCAGTGCGATGCGCAGCGCGAGGTACTTTGACAGATGGTCCACTGTGGCGTTGGCCGTCGTCTTCACATACCTGGAAAATGAGGACAAGTTACAGAAATGTTCCCAACATGGAGTCACGTACTTGGTCACAGCAGTTTCACTTCTCAAACGTTTAAAGTCCTTGTGCAGTATTCAGATTTATTTGTTACATTTTTGTATTTTATCTTTAATTGCTCTTGATTTATTGTTTAGTGTTTTATTGCTCACCTATTCTGACTACCAGGTGTGTCCCAAAAGATGTTTCAAACCCAAACTACAAACTACCAGTTTCCCCTTCAGACCATCAACCAGCACGTCTACAAAGAGATCCTGCACCATTTGCTTTGTTCAGTGCGCGAGAAGAGGTGACTGTTGTGGCAGGACAAGTGGTGGCTGCTTCACCATGACAACCTGCTCACAACGCCCTGAGCATCCCACAGTTCCTGGCTGAGAAGAACATCACCGTGCTGGAGCAACCTCCCTTCTCACCCCACCTGGCTCCGTGGGATTTCTTTCCTCTTCCCCAAGCTCAAGGAGGTCATCAAGGGGACCTGTTTAGAAGACGTGGACGACATCAAGGTGGCTGTGATGACGGAGCTGAGGAGGATGCTGGATAAATCCTTCCAGGAGTGCATGGCGGCGTGGTAGAGAAGGCTGGGGAAGTATGTTAGACTCCAGGGGGATTACTTTGAAGAGGAAAACTTGTAGTTTGGATTTGAAATATATCTTTAGTGACACCAGTCCTGGAACTTTTCTGACACACCTCGTAGGTGTTTTTTGGGTTTTTTTTTTTTAATACTTGATTCCAAGAGAGACTCGCACAAGAATTCCAATGTGCCTAGACGGTCCTGTTTGCGCACAAATGGCAAATAAATATCTTCAACCTAGAATTTTGAGTTCACCCTTTACTCTATTTTAATTTGGTTTAAACCTGCAATAACATAAACAAGCTGTGGACATGATCATGTTTAGGCTAACCACTCTGAACCCACCAAGAAGGTTCCAAAAACAAAACAAAAATTGCCAAAAGTGATGCCATTTATCAGCCAGAAATAAAGTATAAAACCAACAAAAAATGGTAGATTTTCAACTTTTTAACAGTTCTTGAACTACTCACCTGTCAAAAACCTTAACCAAACTAAGCTTAAAACAGGATATTTCATTAAAACAACTTTATTCAACATTTAAATTCAGCAAAAACAAGGCATTTACAACAACCAATACTCAAACGGCAACAATTCACAGACTTTTTAGTGGATCGAAGACAAGCATGGAAGCAAAAAATTGTAAGCAGCAAGAAAGTCAGCATTTTTTGTCAGTATTGAAAATGCATGTGGGAAAAATGTTGTGAAAGGAGATTCAAGATTAATGGCATTATAACCGCGTCATACTGCACAGAAGACATTTTCAGTTTCTACTCTTCTACTAATGGTTGTGATGTTTCCATAGAGGTGCAGGACTTCATATTGCAGTGAAAAATGAGTCCACAGTGAGTAAAAATGTGACAAGAACAAATAAATGCCCAGCAATGGCTTGGGGTTCAGTGGGTTTTTACAGTGTTTGTGTTGTTTACACATTAAAGAGCAGAATCTGAGGTCAATATTCCCTTTTAAATGTTATAATCTGGTCCCACCTGGTCTGGTTGTAGTCCTGAGCGTGGACCAGCTGTGGATGTGGCCTGAACACCAGCTCGATCTCTGAGCCTGGCCCTTCTTTGTGGCGCCTCAGAGGAGGAGTCGGGCTCCCGCTGTCAGCCTCGGGCCCTGAGCCGTCGTCGGAGGCACGTGGACGCTTGCGGCTCGGCCCGGCCTCCGGCGGGGTCTGATCGCGGGGGTGGGGGGCATGTGAGGGGGCGGAGTCATGGGACAGGTGTGAGCGGGAGTCGCCGTTGTCCTCCCCACCGCTGAAGGTGGTGTTGTCGCTCTCTTGAGTAGGCTTCTTCACCCGGTGGTTCCTGCAGGGCGGAAATAAACATGCAGGTCTTGTGATCTGTGATAAACATGAACATTCAGCAGGACAAAGACAAAAAAGAAGGACAAAAGCAAGCCCAGGGGTACAACACAGAGCGTCCAAGACACTGCAAAGTGAATCTGAGTCAGAAACCGTCCTCCTTTTCAGACTAATAACACAATATGATTCAGTGTGACTTAAATTTGCTGATATCATTAACGCTGATGTCCCTCCAGAATAAAGCTCCATAAGTCTACTTGTAAATCACAGACGAAAAGACAATGCAGAAGTTGCCTGAGCAATACCCTGTTTTTAAGCTTTCTTCAGTATCACAGATGTCAGTGAAAGCAGTTTGTATATCCATGAGCACATTAGAAACAAGAGCTGAGAATCTGTAATTCGGCATTATTTCAGCGTGCACACTTGACAAAGTGAAACCAATCAGATCATTGAATATTTTCACATTTTGGTCAGTGTAAGAAAAAAAAAAGGGTTTGTTGGGTGAAGAAGTCCAAAAGTCAAATTTAACAGTTAAAAGACCCAACAAGCTGAAGGAGGAGCAGCTCTAACTGCAAAGACTCATTAAAAAAAAAAAAGAAAAAAAAAGAAAAGAAAATGGCTCCAGATTTGACAGCAAGTTCACTGAAACACCGGCGTAAATGTGGCTGTAAATATTACTGGGGAGGGCAGTGAGAAACTACTCACATAAGCTATGACAAATGAATCCATATTGTTCAATAATTTAAGCAATGGTGTCTTAGAGGTTCTGAAACTGATGTGTGATGGACCCCCAGCTGTCCCCCACCTCTCGGACCTGTAGCGGGCCTGCTGGCGGAGCCCCTCCTCGATGCTGGAGCTCAGCGCCTCCTTGTTGTGCAGCCTGTTGAGCCGCTCGAGGACGCGACGCTGGTGGGCCTCGTACTCATCGCGACTCGGGTAGATCTTGGAGATCAGCGCGTCAAAGTTTGAGTCTCTGCGCAGCGAACGTCTGGAGACCAGCTTCTTCCTGCAGGTCGGACACTCCTTGTTCCTGAGCAGAAAGAAATCATCCTTAGCTTGTACAGTCTAAATGCTCTGATTCCAGCTTCTTAGATGTGAATATTTCCAGGTTTCTTTTCTGCTGTAAGACAGTAAACTGAATATCTTTGGACTGTGAACAAAACAAGACCTTTGTCATCAACACTGAGACATTTTTCACTATTTTCTGACACTTTATAGACCAAATAACTAACTGAAAAAACTGTTGTGATTTGAAGCTTTCTCAACAGCTGTGAGTGTGGCTAATATTGTAAAAACTGTCTCTTGTTGGATCAAACCGTAATAATGATTCAACAAGAGATTTATAGCTGCATAGCAGATCACTTGATATGACACACCTCTATTGGTTGGACAAATTGGAACACAATTGATTAATCCCAGAAAGAAACATGCAACATATATTGATTGCTCACCCGGATCGCAGCGCGGTGACGATGCAGTCGGAACAGAAGCGGTGCAGACACTCCTTGGTGGTCATGGTGTTCTTCAGCATGTCCAGGCAGATTGGACACATCAGCTCGCTGTGCAGAGAGCGAGGAGACACCGCCACCTCCGTCCCATCCATGATGGCCTCCTGGACACACGAAAACACAGACGTTATCATGCCTGCACTTAACCTCAACACTTCACCTGTTTCTAATGACAACAAAGGCTGTTTAAATGTGATAATATGGAGGCATCTTCAGTGGTTTGTCCAACACCAACTACACACAAACCAACAACACGTGTGTGACTGACTTTCTTTGTTATTCTGAGATGAACCCCAAAACCCACCAGCAGGTTTGAAGGGCATTTTATCTTTAAGAAAAAAACTGCAAAATCACACCATTTATCAGCACGAACATCAGACTTTAAACTCTGACATAAATGCTTTATGTGTGACATACAATGCATGAAAAATAGCCCAATCTAAGCTTACGATGGTGATATTTAATCACAATCACTTTATTCTCAACAAAAAATTCTCCAAAACTAAACCATTTATTTTGCACCAGATCCTGTGTACACATAAAATAAAGTGCTCCTGTACAACAATGACCATCACTGGGCTTTAACTAAGAGGTCTACTTGATGGACAGATAACAGGCACCGATGTAAACACAGGAACAGCTGCACAGCCAACGTGCAGCACAATCTTAGACTCAAAGTTCCAGATAAAGTCGGGCAGCAACAATAAAACAAGTACATTTTGCCCCTTAAAATACCCAAACACAGCATTGCTTCAGCTCTGCTGTGCATACAAAGAAGAAATTGCACTGACTTCTGAACAACAAAGCACGTCAGCTATTCATGTCAGCTGCAGCCGACAGCCGTGTGACAAAAACTCAGGGCTCTTCAGCTGAACTGCAGGCAGTGTTTACACAGAGAAGAGAGGAGACATGCATGGAAACAAATTTAGGTTGTAAAATATCTACAGTATTTAGAGTCACGACTTTGCAAACAAAATGGGCCCCTGGGAAAATGTTGTACATGTTGATTCCAGGTTTTTTCAATTTTTGTTAAATAAATGATTAAAGAAATTCAACTGTTTTTCTATTGATTTATGGAATAATCTCAGTGTCATGCTGCACAGAAGAGGTCTGTAAGTCTTCTAATTCTAGCCATGATTGTGCCAAATTCGACCTAACCTGTAGGAAGTTAGGACAAAAATAAAGTATCTGTGTTACATTTGTTGTCAGTCTTTGTCAGGATTTTTATCACTAGTTTTGTGAGGACTGTTGTCGGCATTCTCAGCCTCTTCACAACAACTCTAACCTGATTCAAACATAAACCCTAAAACCAAGTATGGACACACATGCAGGTTTACCTGAGGGCTCCTGTGCAGCTCATACAGACTCAGTTCCCAGGTCTTGCTGGGAGTCTGGATGTTTACAGGAGCTGCCATGGCTGCTGTTCCCCACAATCCTCCCTGGACCAAGAAGGAGACACAAGAGAGAGACACTGCTCAGGTTTCTCAGTTGTAAACTTTTACATGCATTAAGTGCGATATGTCTCACTTTTTCCTTTTCCAACAATGTCTTCAAAATCTAAGTGAGTATGCACACAGAGCTCTGACAATCCACTGTGTAGTCATACTGATAACGCAATTTGAACTGAGTTACAGAGATAACACAACAACAATTTTGGTCCCAACAATCATATTAAACATGACATTATCTCAAAATGTTGATAAGTGTCGTCAGAATCTGCCACATCCTTTATTTCAAGCAAAAACGAATAAACTCTTGTCGTTTGTGGTTCTCAAATGTGATGTATTGGTGTCTATCGTTCAGGGATGATCCTGCACAGAGGTGGGTTTTTTCTCACTTGTTTTAGGAGAACTTTCTAAAGAAAAGCCTTCATATATCTAAAATAAAGTTGAGACAGAAACTTACTCAAACGTGACAGCAACACATTCAGATCATCAGATGGTGTTCTATTGATAATATGAAGAAACTGACTAACAGGCGCCCTTCGGTCACCTCACTGTGCACACAAACTTCCAAACAGCGACTCTTCATCTCGATTTAAAGCCAGAAAGAAGTTTGTAAAGTTCATGTCTTTACTCAGTAAAAGCAAAAATCACTACATTCGTCGACGTAGACTTAAATCTGTTGCGGAAAAGCAATGGATAAAAGTGGAAACTCACCTGACGTTGAAGTGACGGACAGCTGACCGGAGGAGAGGCGACCCCCCTCCCGCTGCACAAACACACACACACCGCCTGCTGAAAACTACTCACTAAATCACTACAACTACGCACACGGGGGATTGTTTCCTGCCCGAGTCTTTACGGCGTCGGTACAGGGGCTTTAGGACGTGGCCGGACCCCGTTCGTCTGGTAAAAACACAGAAAAAAAAGCTCAAGAGCACAACATTTTCCGAGAATCATCTGCTAGCTAACGTTAGCCGGGGCCATCTTTCTTCTTCTTCTTCTCTCCGGAACAACTCGCATCCACCCCGGCTGCTGCTCGCTCTCTGTCCGCGGCACTGACCCCTAGCGGCCACATGGTGCATTAGAACTCCAAACACATACAAGCTCGGTGTGTGGGGCTGCAGGGTGGAGCAGTTGGTAGCACTGTTGCCTCGCAGCAAGAAGGTAACCGGTTCGCGATCTTTCTGCGTGTTCTCACCGGGTTCTCCGGCTTCCTCCCACTCCCTCCCCTAAAACATGTTGATGTGATAGACTGGTGACCTGTCCAGGGTGTCCTTCACCCAAAGGCTAGGGATGCAAAAAGTGCAAAATCACCTCAAAAGGTACATAAAATGTAAAGTGAGTTGTAAAATGACTATAAAAACAAAAACAAGCATATCATTTACAAAGAAAAATAGCAGAACGCCTACAGTGAGACACAAACTATCAGTAATGACACAGAAAATTTGGCTGTCTGCAGAATCTATACGGTCAGAAGAATACACGATTCATTTGAAAAAGAAGGAAAATAACGAGCAAATGTAGAACCTGGTACCACAGGCCAAGTTCTAAATTAATCAGAGGACAGGCAAAGAATGTATATAAATGTTCATATTTCACAGTGCATGTCATAAAATCACCATCCTATTTTTCATAAAAGGGTCTAATCATCATATTGTGATTTCCAGCCAATGTGAAAGTCCTGCATTCATTTTTATCTACAATATTAGATTCATGGAGAATCAAAGATCGGAGCAGTTTGTGGGCTCTCTTGTGTTGTGGCAGGTACGCTAGGTTGATGTACTGCAGCTACCTGACCTGTAGGATTCATTGCGGTGGGTCCACGATTAAACAGCGAATGGACCTCTTCTTGGGCAGAGCGGTATTGAACACGGTTGCTTGTAGTAGTGTTACTGGTGCATGCATTCACCAGGGTGTTCATAACCTCTTTATTACTGAGGACTGCAGCTACTAAACTTTGTGCTGCCTCACTCATTTTGCACTTCTTGCAGCAACAAGTGCGAATAATACACCTCAAAAAAACAAGATGGCACCAGTGAATGTCATCATTTTTCATTATATATATCTTCAGAGTTTCATTATATATTATTCAGACTTTCATTCCATATTTTAAGACTGTTATATATCCATCCATCCATTATCTATACACCGCTTAATCCTCATTAGGGTCGCGAGGACTGTTGTATAAATATATAATTACAATAACATAATTTCTTAAACGGCACGCCATCATTCACACAAAAGCACTACAGGCTAAGAATATCTGAAATATGAAATATGCTAAGTGCTTCGTGTGACTCACACAATTACAGTTTCCTCAGATCATGTCTTAGTAAAGCTGCACAGCTGGTTGGTCCAGTTCCACTGTCAGTGTGTCATCGAGGTGAAGTGCAGGAATTTCATTTGCAGGTAAATACAACACATTCAACTGGGAATAAAAAAAGCATCAATGACCTTTGGAGGTGGATTTGGTAGAGATTTAACTAATCTTCTCAATGTTGACTTAATTAATATGAATTAACACTTAATGACTTCAGCATTTTTCTGGGTTGTGCGCCCTAAATAAATAAAGCAGTCGAGTAAAGGTATAAATACTGTAGAGTGTAACCTTAACAATAAAATTAGTCAAGGGAATGTATTTAGTATATAATATTATATGGTCTTTACATTAATATTTTATTTAGTCAGTTAAATTTGTTTCATATGCTATAGAATACTGTAAGGTTTTAACTTTAATATTTAGGTTAGTCAGGTACAGTAGTAATATTGAGACAATGAGAGAGTTTGCAGAAAGTCTTCCAGTGGCAGACTGATGAAGCATAAGAGCTTTTGTTGTGCTGATATGAATCCGATGAATAGATTTTTCTCTGTTTATACTTTAGTGAGGCTGTAAAACTGGTTGATCCAGTTCTGCTGTCAGTGTGCCTTCAGGGCAAAGTGCAGGAATTTTTTTTTCAGCCAAATCCAACAGCGATCTGGCAGGTTAACTGCGTGATCTTGCCAAACTTAAGTAGGTTTATTACTGTTTTGGTGACAAAATTAGACCAAACTGAAGTGACATAAGAAACCACAATACTGCACACAGAGCCCTGTCAGAATCACATGAAGCCTGGTATTGAATGACTGCATGCCTCGGTGATAAGTGTCTCCACCTGTAGCTCCACCTGTCTTCACATAATTCGTGCCGTCGTCACACCCCAATGTCAAGCAAGGTTGCCAAGTTTGTAGTTTATGGGAAATCCCACAGGGCTAGAGAGTATGCGCTATAGTTCAGTTTCCTCTGCACTAAATAAATAACTCTAAAAACACCTTATACATAGTACTATTTATGTTTCAGAGAACCTTTCTCTATTGCCTTAAGAGTCTGAATTACGGAGACTCATGGAGACACAAAATGAGTACAAAGAGATGACAACTAACCACAAAAACAGTAAAATGATCATCAATAACAACAAAAAAAGAAAAAGTAATCATCAAAAAAAGTAAAAATGAGCACAACGGGGTAAAAAAAAAAGGGTGCAAGAGGTGAAAACCAATAATAAAATAAAAACAAAATAATCACAAATGGACACAAAATGGCTAAAAACATATATGAAAAGACCACAAAAAAGTTGTGTACATTTTGTTCTGTATGTAAAGTCCTAATCTACACAGTAAAAAAAAAAAAAAGGTAAACAAAGCAAACAAACAAACCAAAAACAGTACTGTTTGTGCAGCTGGGGTGCTGAAAACACAGTAAAACAAGGGAAAATCTCACGAAAAAAAAAAAAGAATTTTCCATAATTTTAATACATTTCCCGGCCTTAATTTGACATGTTATGGATTTTTTTGATTGTCTTAATATTTAATGAATAATATTTATATGTGTAAAAAAACAATTAACAAATAGACCAGTGCTTATAGATATTATACACTAATAAAACATAATATTCAACATTTTCATTGTAAAATATTTCTCATTTAACAAGCAGATCTATGTAAAAATACTAAACAAATTTTTTTTTGGGTATGAATTGCCACTAATTCTATGTAATTTTTCAAATATTTTCACATATTAAAACTTAAATTTAACAGTTTCATCTGTTCAATTAAAAATAATTGTAATTCAATATAAATTTGAATGCGTTTTTATGTGAAAAACTAGCAAATATCTTTAAAAAACTGGAAATGTTGCAGTGGTTCAGTTACAGCTTTTATTATTATTTTACTGTAAACATCTAATTCACCGTCCATTTTGGTAATTCTGCTGATATGTTCCTGTATTTCAGAAATACATTTAAAAAAAATCAGAAAAATAAAAAGAAAGTTTTGTTACAGTTTCTCCTATTTTAAAAGAGCAAAGTGCACAAATATGCATGAAGAAGTGACGCGTATCACGGAAATATTGATTGCAAAACATAGTAAAGGCATTTCAGAAACTCTCCATGTTATACAACATCAAATGACAATAAAGAGTAGAACAAAAGTAAATGTTGTTGTTCTGGATTAGTTCGTAACTAAGCAACAGCGTGACCCTCATTGTCACTGCTGATTAGCTTCTGACAGCTTCAGAGAGATGAATTATTTCTCAACACAAATTCTTCTTTTGTTCTTCAAGCCATTATCTGGGACGATGCCGCCTCACATGTTTGTCCATAAATGTTTTTTGTACATTGCGTCTGCATGAGCAACCGCCCCTCTGGCAGGTCTGACTGATGGCTCTGAAATGTAAAACCACACTCTTGAGCTGGATCCAAGTCTTCTCCTGCTTCCTTCTACAGTGTTATGTGATCTCAAATAGAATAGAATAAAACTTTATTGATCCCTTCGGTGTAAACCTCAGGGAAATTGTTGAATGACCTCAAAGGGACACAAAATGGTGACAAGGAGAGGAAAATTGACCAAGAAGAGCGCAAAAGATCTCAAATTTGCCATAAAATAGCTGTACAATGACCACAATGAAAGCAATATTACAAAGAAAATTTGAAAAATAAATTTAAAGGGACACAAAATGGCTATAAACAGATGGAAATGGCCTGAATAAAAGAACAATGACATGAAATAGTAACAAAAAATATAAAATGACCACAAAATGGGTTAAAAAGAGACAGAAATTGAACGCAATAAAAGGAAGGTCACCATAAATGATGACAAAACATAATCTCACAGGGACACAAAATTGTGCTAAAAAGGAAACGTAAAATTAGCTGAAAGAGGATACCTCACCTAAATAGGATTAAGACGACCAGTAACAAACACAGAAAATGCAAAATAACACAAAATGGTTATTAAAATAAATGACAACAAATATTTCAAAGTAATCTCAAAGAGACACAAACTGACTGCAATAAAATAAAATAACTTTGACACAAAATGAATGAAAAGACATGAAAATGGATGAATGATAACTACAACAAGTGCTAAATGACCTCAAGGGGGCATAAAACAACCATAATAAGACATAAAATGACACACACAAAAGCAAAAATGATCTAAATGCTTATAAACAAATGCAAAAATAACCACAAAAAATGCTAAATTATTTCAAAAGGACACAAACATGTTTTTCTGCCTCCATGTCCAGAGCTGGGACTCGATGCTATTATGCAAAAAGTTTACTGCAACAACAACATGTCAGCCTTTTTTTAGCGTTGCGCCACACCTCACACACACGTGGACAATGACTGAGCTAAATCTCAGCAAACAGCCACACAGAGTCATGGAATTATCTCTAATCCTGCAAATCAATCAGAGGATGTTCAAGCTGGTGAAAAATGCTGTAGAGATGACTGATTTTAATGTTGTTGTAATGTCTAGTTGCTGCCACTAGGGGGGCATCGAAAGTAGTGTTTTACAGAATGCTACTTTAAACGCAGACAAGCGAGCAGATGAACTGGAGGACTGTAAAGTGAGATTGGGTTGGATCGAATATTGAATTTAATTAAACATAATTTTATTTATTTAACTTTTTTCTCATTTAGAGAAGGGTAAACAACATACTTTCCCCTCAT